GCGACCAGGGGCAACGAGGGCGGATGGGGAGGAAACAATGGAGGAATTGTGATCGGGTCTCGCTTGGGATGCTATTCTATGCCAGGCTGGGCAGATCTAGCCGTATCGACGAGTTGTCGAGCAGGGGCGGCTTCGCCGTCACGGCGGGAAGCTTTTGAGTTCTTTGGTTGAGAGTGGGCGGGGTTCGCGTTTTCCAGGATTCGTGGTTTCGCCTGAAGGCGGTTCTGGGCTTCCTGGAGGTATTCCGAGTTTCCCGTGTGGTGATTTTGGGTTTTGTTTTTTTCCGGATTTTTGGCTTCGCCGACAAATCCATGGGTTTACCGTTCGACCCTCTCGGCGGCCCTTTGTGGGCGTATTTGAGCCTTTCGGGGCCGGTTGGGTCCCTGCTGGCTGTGCAGGGGGCCTTCTTCGGAGGAAGTCCGCTGGGGTACCTTCGAGTTCCCCTTTTGTGGAGCCCGTTTGAGCCTGTTGGGCTCTTTCTGAAGGCTCAGGGGTCGTCTTGGGGCGATCTCTGGGGCGGGCCGGCGTGGGCGCTCTTAAAGACCGAGAAGGCGATCAAGCTAACATCATGCAGTACCCTTGAGCTTCTAATTTAGTTTCGTCTCTTTGGCCGGTTCCCAGGGCCTTGACGACGGCCAAGAAAGCCCCCTTGACGGTCCCACGGGGTCATCTCAACGAATTTTAGACTTTAATTTCGAATCGCGGTCCCTATGCCCCACAAAGGTCGGAGTTGCCACGAGTGATCCTGCCCCAAGGTGCCACAACTCTGTCGCGTCAATGTGTGGCCTCTGAGGATGTCCAGGCCTTCGAATGGTGCGTTGATTGCCATCTTGGCCCCCTCGGAAACGGCGGGCCCACATTGGGCCAAGATCACATGTGGCAACGCCTGATGGGAACAAGCCATGCGGCACACCCTAACAATGCTCAAGAACGCCCGGGTGCGCGCGGGGCAGTCCGTGAACTAGGCGTCTTGGGCCCCTGATCAATATTTGGAATATTAATGTTAATTCGAAGTCGCCTACGGTGAACCATCGTCGCCCACAGCCTTTTGTAACTGCCTATGTGGCCAAACGTTGGGCCGAAGTCTTGCTAAGCTGTTGGGCAATATGCTCCCCGAGCCGTTGTGAAAACCCTTGGCTGGGTACTTGGGGTAGAAATAGAGGAGAGGCAGTAGGGAGGAGGAGGAATGGGGCATGTGAGGAGGAGGAGGAGGAACACAGTGCCCAGCAATCCGATGTCCCCAAACGGGCAATCGGTGGATACAGAAATCAGGAAGTACAGTCCATCTTACCTTAAGCTCTAAAGACGGAAACCTGTCATTTTGAATTGAATATGATAGTTTTTTGGGGCTGTCAGAATTGGACGAGAGTGCCAGACGAAAACCCGTTCAGCGAACATGAACTCATCTGCAGCATAGATGATTCGTGAGACTGCCTGCAAGTCTTGCTGCTTTTGGCTCAAGGCCAAGAGTGTTGAACAACACGATGACACTAGATCGGTTGTGCAATGGGCCACGGGGCCCTGGTCCTGCGGTGGAGCCCCTTCTGGACCTTGCCACCTTTCCTTGGCGAGTAGCCGCCACAGTCCGAGGCTCGGAGGGGGGCCCAGCGCAATTTGCGTTGAGACCGCTCCGCCCATCCCCCCCCAAAGTCTCCCGTGCATCAGGCCCCTCAGTTCCAGGGGCCGCGCGGTCGGAGCCCATGGCAGCTCCAGCCGCGTGCCGCTCGGCTGGCCTGCGCTCACTCACGAGCACTCGGGGGACGTTTTCGGCTGCCGGAAGCCCGAGCAGGCGAGGACGCGAGAATTATTGGAGCATCTGGGAGACAGCGGTTTTGGTCTCCCAGAGGTCCCCTTGGGGCATCTCGCCATCTTTGGGGCTCTTGCGCCGTCTGGAGGTCATCTTGACACGCCTTGCATTCATCTTCGGCCGTCTTTGGGCGTCTTGAGACCATCTTGGGCTCTCTTTAGGGCATATTGGCTGTCTTACAGGCATCTTGGAGGCCATATTGGGCCATCCTGTCCGTATTGACCCTGCAACTATCTGATTACATACTTGCTTTGGGGGGCATCCTGGGCTGGCCCCCGAGGCCCCCCAAGACGACCCACGAACCCCCACGACAGCTCCAAGACGGGCCCGCGGGACCGTCGCAGCGCATGTTAGAAGTTCGTATTTCGAGCCACGCGCCCAAGCCCTCGGGAAAAAGTCATGTGGACAGGCTGGCATCCAAGAACGGGGGTGTCCAAGAGCGGGGTGAGGACCAGAGGGGGTAGATGTCATGGTGGGGGCCATGGTATCTTCTCTGATTTCATGGCCAACTCGTCTTCTTTCAATAAGTCCCTTGGCCACCCTTGTCCACGCACGTTCCTCCGGCCGTGATTTGCGAGCCCCCCCCTCCTGAACGCCCTCCGCTTAGATCCCTCGAGAGAGTGCCCAGAACTCGCGTGAGTTTTGGGCTTGATCAATTTAGGAGTTTTTCCGTATGCGACATTGGGCATTCCAAAGGGTGTGAAGCACTTTCCTCTCAGTGGCGCCGCCTCGGTGGCGGGTCTATGCAGTGCGATCCATGCGGTGATTGGCTGGGGCGCAACTTGTTCGATCTAGGCGGAGCGCTGAGTGGGGTGCAATGTATGCATGCAGCTCTACCGTGTGGACCCCTATCGTTTGGGACCCTGTCGTGTGGATCCCTATCGTGTGGTACCCAGATCGTGTGGGATCCCGTTGTGTGGGATCCGATTGCCCACGAGCCTGCTGTGTGAGGGACGACATTCGAAATCCTGTCGCACCTGAGCAATGCGCTCGAAAGCAAGGAGGACTTCCGAGGTGCAGGCTTTCTTTGTTGGGTGTGGTAGAGCACGTTCGTGTGCATACAACCTACATGCCGGCTGCTCTGGGTTCGACGTGCGTTGTCGGCGCCGTCTGATTTTGAGGCACCAGGGGGGCCAGGGGTTTGGGGTCCGTTTCGCTCTCGGCCGACTTGCAGTCAAACCGCATCATAATGACTACAAGGATGCCCTTGCATCCTCTTCTCTCGGCCGATCCCAGCCGCTCAGCCACGGCCCATGCTCTTTCAGCTTCGGCTTCAATTTGGGCGTCTAAGGGCCTTGCATCCTTACCGCGCGTAATCGAAGATCTGGTCGCACTGCATGCCTTCGGCATGGAGGGAACGTGTCCTGGAGGAAAGGGTCCTGGAGGTCTCTTGCCGTTTCGGGGCTCCCTCGCTTCCTGGGCTTTACCAGGTCAGGGCTGGACCTAAACGGTGTTTCGGCGATTTTTCGGGCCGTTTTCGTTTCGATTTCGTTTTGCGGTGAAGGCGAATCGAAGACAACACGAGGGAAAACGAAAACAAAACGAAAACGACAATCACCGTTTAGGTTCAGCCCTGTACCGGGTCCCGGGGACCGTCCACAGACGACTCGGGACGAACACATTTTCTTGGGGGACTGCCCCAGGAACCAGGAGCCGCCTGCACCTGGAGCTGTCGCCTCCACGCCGATGATTGTAGAGCCGCATCTAGCCGAGGCAGCGAGAGCCCCCCCCCCCCCACACACACACAGACACACACACACACACCACACACCACACACCACACACCACACACCACACCACCACACCACACACACACACACCACACACCCACACACCACACACACACACACCACACAACACACACACACACCACCACACACCACACAACCACACACCACACACCACACACACCACACACCACCACACACACACACACACCACACACACACACACACACACACACCACACACCACACACCACACACCACACACACACACACACACACACAACACACAACACACAACACACAACACACAACACACACAACACACAACACACAACACACAACACACAACACACACACACACAACACACACACACACAACACACAACACAACACACACACAACACACACACACAACACACACAACACACACACACAAACACACAACACACACACACAACACACAACACACACACACAGCACACAACACACAACACAACAACACACACACAACACACAACACACAACACACAAACACACACACCACACACACCACACACACCACACACACCACGCACGCACGCACGCACGCACGCACACGCACGCGCGCGCGCACGCACGCACGCACGCGCGCACGCGCGCACGCGCACGCACGCACGCACGCACGCACGCACGCACGCACGCACGCACGCACGCACACACGCACGCACGCACGCACACACACAAGAAACACACACACGCATACACATACACATACACATACACATACACATACACATACACAAACACATACACATACACATACACATACACATACACATATGCACATATGCACCTACACATACACATACACATACACATACACATACACATACACATACACACACACTTACACACACTTACACACACTTACACACACACTCACACACACAACACACAACACACAACACACAACACACAACACACAACACACAACACACAACACACAACACACAACACACAACACACAACACACAACACACACACACCACACACACACACCACACACCACACACACACACACGCACGCACGCACGCACGCACGCACGCACGCGCGCACGCTACACATACACATACACATACACATACACATACACATACACATACACATACACATACACATACACATACACATACACATACACATACACACATGCACAGACACATGCACATACACATACACATGCACATACACATACACATACACATACACATACACACTTACACACACTTACACACACACTTACACACACACACACTTACACACACACACTTACACACACACACTTACACACAGAGATCGGGGGTGGGAGGAGGAGGAGGAGAAAGAATAAGAGGAGGCGGAGGAGGAGAAGGAGGTTCCCTCCCCCAGCTCCCCCACCACCACCGTCCTTTCCCTCGTCCTCCCCCCCAGTGCGCCGACATGCTGAGGTCGAGGCCTCGAAAGCGAAGAAGGAACCCGCCCCCCTTGTGCAGCACGGCCCCCCCGCGGGCTCCCCGCCCCGAGCCCCGCCTGGGCGTCCTCATCCTCAATCTCCTCTCCTCGCTCCCACATTCTCCCTCCTCTCCTCCTCCTCTCCTCCTCTCCTCCTCCTGCCTCCCCCTCATCCTCATCCTCAACCTCCTCTCCTCTCCCTCCTCCTGCCTCCCCCTCTCTCCGCATCCTCCCTCCCTCCCCCCCGGTTCGCGACAAGGCAGGGCTGGGCTGGGACAAGCTCCACCCGTGGAAGTTGAGGTGGCTGCCGTGCAGCTACAAGGAGAGGTTCCTGGACGTGCTGTGGTGCTGGGGGCAGGGGCCCACCAAAAGCATGCTGTGGCAGATGCTGGTGTGCTTTCTGCCGAAGCCCATCCCGGCAGGGCGCGTCCGCCCCAACATCCTGAACTGTATTTGGTTCAGGTTCTGGTCGAGGATGAGACAACAACCGCTGGTGCCGGCATGGGAGAGAGGCGTTGCAGTAGGCTTCTATTGGGGAGGCTCGGACAAGACATGCGACCGTCCAGGATACGTGCACAACCTGCTGGCGGCCTTCTGCGCTCATCACGACGGCATGGCAGTAGGCACGGTGGCCCCCCCCGACCTCAGCAAGTTTTACGAGTAATGTCGTGTCGCACGACATCCTGTTGATGGAGGCCAGGGCCACGGGTTGCCCGCTGCCGGTGCTGAGGGCGCAGTGTTGCGCCTATCGCGTGCCAAGGCGCGCGAGGCTCGTAGGTGCGATCGGTTCCATCATCAGTGCCACCGGCACGATCGTGGCGGGCTGGTCGTGCGCGCTGGGGCTGGCGAAGCTGATGGTCCACACCCTGGTGGTCGAGCAGGCTCGTGGCTTCCCGCTGGTGATGGCGCAGTCGCTGCTGGACGAACAGCTGCTGCAGGTGCTCGGCACACCATCTCTACTGGCGAGGCAGCTGCCAGAGGCGCTCGACTTTGTAGTGCAAAGATGGCGGAGAGGAAACTCGAGGTCAACTGGGGTAAAACAGGCTGGTTCACGGCACGCGAGGAGTTGGGTCAAATGCTGGCAGGCTCCTGGGCCCTTGCCTCGTTGGAGACGGCTCTGACGACATCAGGCGATCGGTGGTCGCGCAGGACAAACAGGATCAAGACAAGCAAGGATGTTGCCAGCAGGATACGTGCCTTGCGTTCGGCGCGAGCGCCGGCCGAGAGGATTCACAGAAGGCTTCCGACCGCCACCGCCATTTTGGGCTCGGGGGTCGCAGGGCTATTCGACCACAAAATGAACGGTCTTCGCGCTAGTGCCTTGAAGTCCGAAGGTCGGCTCTTACCTGTGGCTAATGTGGTCCTCAGGCTCGCTTCGATATTGAAAGGTTGCTGGAGGGATCCTGCCACGCCACGCGTAGGAGAAGTGGTCCATACCTGGGCCATGTATGTGGAGGCCGCCCTACCAGCCATGCCCATTCTCGAAGCTGGTTTGGCTCATTCAAAAGGCATCCTGATATCGAGAAGCTCCTGGAGCCAGTGTAGCAACCCTGCCCAGGTGCTTCAATTTGTATTGGCCGTGATCGGAGCCTGGATGCAGTCTGTGACGGAGATTGTAAGACCATTCGGTGAGCTCATCAGGTCTCGGCTTTATCCCTCCAGGCAGACCTGTGTGGCGTCGGTGTTGTGTCTGTGAGCAGATGCCAGTGCTGGCGCTCAGAGATCAGCTGCGAGCCCCTTGAGAGTGAGTTGTTCAGTCGCAAGCCTCAGTAAGCACGTTGCGAACCTAGTGCAGAGCTTGGCCTCCGGCACCTACTGGCCTCAGCGGCGCTTGTTCCGCCGCGGTAGGTCCATGTTTGGCGACTGCAGGATGCGCGACTGCCTGGGGACTGGGCACCTCCGTAGGTTGTTTTGTTCGTGCTCGGACAGCTTCACACGAACTGACGCGCCCCGCTCGGTCGGAGCGGCTGGAGGCGCGCGGAATCTGGGGGGGGGGGGCGGCTGAGCTGTTTGGCCGCGGCCTGCCCTCCCCCCCCCCCCCTTCCCCGAGAAATGCTTCGGGCGGGGCGGGCTGGGGCTTCCGAGGGACGCCCCGCGCGGTTCGTCCGGGCCCATCCCGGGCGGCTCCGGGGAGGGCCCACGTGAATGTATGGCGTGGTCTTTATCGCGAGCGCAGCTCATGCAGGCGCGCGGGCTGGTTGGCAGGCAGCGCAAGCAGTTCTCGATGGCAATCTCGTTGCCTGTATGTATGGGGTGGGGTGTCGCCGAGGTCTCGGGGGCAGGGCCATTGGGCGCCGGGCGGGGGGGACTTCGCGCGTCGCGTGCTGGCTCGGTTCTCAGGGCCTCCCTCGGACGGGAAAGAAGGCGCCGCCCCAGAAGTGTGCAGCGGCGGCGCTGGCTTGGCCAGTTGCCGCCGAACTCGACGGAGGCCCTCGGTCTCAGTAGGGAGCGTGGGCACATGTGGAATTTGTGGTGGGACATAGAGCTGGCGCCTCCTCTAGCGCGCGCAATGCGAGGGCCAACAGGAGGCTCTCGGATGCCGCATCGCTTGATGACCTTCGGGTGCTTCGGGGGAACCAGTTGGCCGAAAAGTGAGCCAGGGCTGGGGCCCGTCTGCGGGGCGTCCCGATTAGCAAGAAATTGTTGTGAAAGCCTGCGAGCGCAGGGCTGAGGACGTTGCTCAGTGGCTCGGTGGGCTCCACGCGTGGCTGTGCGAGGCCGGATTCCGAAACTCGCGCAGAGTTGAAGGTGCGGCCGACGTTGTGTTGGGTCTCGAATTGGAGGCCTCGCAGCTGCAAGCCAAGGAGGCGCAGGCACGGGCTAATTTCTGTGAGCGCAGCGCCTCGCTCCGATCGCGCATTGCCCCCCCGCCTGAGCTGTGCCCTGAAGGAGGGCCAGCCCCAGCAACCGCGGCAGACCTTCTTGCTTCTGGGGGCGTTGGCTGTCTCCAGCCGCGGCTGTTTTAATGGCGCGAGACAGTGCAGGCGTCAGTGCGCGGGCTCGAACTTGAACCGCTAGTTTTGTTTTGCGCGGGCTTCGGTGCCAGCGCGCAGAACATGTCAGGCCTGGGCCAGGCCCGGCAGCGGCATGCAAACGGAATGCCCGCCCAGGTCTTGCCGCGCAAAGGAGCAGGCTTCGGAGAGGCCCCACTCTCCTAATTCGACGCAGTCTTAACCCTCCAAATTCGAGCCAGTCGTCACTCCGTCGTTGGATGTCCGAGCCATGTGCGTGGGGCAGCTGTGCATTCTTGAAGTGTCGGGGTTCGAGGCTGACAGAGGTTCCTCCAGGCTTGAGGTGCCCGAACCTTTAGTTATGTGTAGAGCTGCTGCGTTGCGTTGGCTTCAGGATTCCAGGAGGAGGTGCGTTGGTGCCACTGTGAACGTAGCAGGGAGGAGAGCCTCGACTTGGCCCGCGTTGACCCAGGGCTCCCTCTTATGATGAATTAAGCTTTCTAAATCTCGTCGGGCGCGAGGGAGTTTGCCCGCTTGTCTACTACCGCCTATTTGTGCCATCCTCCCACCCTCTCCTCGCGATGGACACGCTCAGCGAGCGCGGCCACAGCCAAACGCATCCATCGTCCTTCCCCGTAGCTTCTTTCCGCCTCCTGACATCCCCTTCCCTCTGGCCTCCGTCATTCCTTTTGGTATCTTCTTGCCTTTGATTCCATGGGCCACGTTTTGGTCGTCACCTCGGCCCTGGGCCCTGGTTCCAGGTTAGCCAGCATTAGCAAGCAATTCTCGCGCCTGCTGCACTTTGAAGCATGGCTGTGGTGATGAACGTAGATCGTGCCATTTGATGTATTGGGCGGCACAGTTCAATACTTGGACAAGAATCATGGGCTGTGAATGCAATCGCGGACCTGCTTAAGCAACTTCTGGCAACTGTTTCTATGTCTGTTGTACCGATGGTTCAGTCCAACACCACAGCGCCAGCGTTGGACGACGCGGGTCCCGCTTTCTCGCTCCCCCTGTGGATTGGTTTTTCGTTCCAGTAGTTCTCTGATTGCTTCGGGGCCCGATCTCGGCACACCAGGCCAGAATCCAGGAAATCCGGCGGGATCGAACGATTCAATTTGCCGGAGTTCATGGCCCGTGATTATATCAAGGGTTTGCCACCAATCACTATCTGACGTTGGGCGAAAGAGGATGAGAGGGTTTGGGATCGCAGCGCTGCAGACACGACATTCGCTCACGATGTGGTCAATCGGGGCCATGTCGCTCCAAGACGGGTCTGGGTGTTGATGTATGTGACATGCTTTTCTCTATCCAGGTGTCCGTGGCGAACCCCGCCCCCCTCCTGCTCTTCTTGCCGTTGTTACCCGTGCATCGCGCCACGATGAAGAGGATGAGGGGAAGGAGGAGAGGGAGGAACAGCACTTGGCATTCTCACGCGTCGACATCATGCAGGCACGGGGGCGCATCTCTCTCTGTCTCTCTCTCTCTCTCTCTGTCTCCTCCTCTTTTTTTTTTCTCCTCTCGCCTCATTCCGTACAAACGGGCACAGGCACAAGCGCCTTACGCGCCTTTGCGCGCCTTACGCGCCTTCGGTGCCCTGCCCACACGGGCGCGAGCACCTGCGCTGCGCCGCATGTGCCTGGAACATAGAATCGCTCCATCGCCTGCACTCTCCTTACTTCGACCACGCTCCCTCCCTGCACCGTCCCTTCTTCCTCCTCCCTCCTTCCTCCCTCCACCCTTCTCTGAATACGTGGATGGAGAGGGAGGGATTTTCTCTTCTGCGATCGGAGCTTTATCCATGCCCCGGCGAATGCCTACAAAAGTTGGGCCTTCAGAGGCCAGGTTCTTTTTATGCCCCCATCTTGGCTCCTCGAGGGATTTGCTCGTGAGCAGGGGTACTGATAAGAAGTCGATCGTCGATCACTCCACACTCTCGAGGAACACAGAACGACATACACATGATCTTCCAGGGGTTTGCGCGGATGTCCTTGGTCCGATCGTTTTTTTTGTCCTCTAGTCTCTTGTGCCGTTGTATGCCAGCTCTGTCTTTCTTCTGAAGCGTTTGTGCCGTTGCATCTGTTCCTCCGGTCTTCCCTCCCTCCCTCCTCGGTGGCGGGGCGCCGCGGTAGGAGGACCAGAACGTGATAGAGCTGGAGGGGGAGGCGAGCGCCGGCCCTGGCCGCGGCAGCATTTCGATGTTGGCGTCGCCGCCGTCGTCGTTCGCCGCCGTCGCGTCGCTGCTGTCGGAGTCGTCGTTCTCGCCGTTGCCGTCGCCGTCCTGCCCTCGTCGAGGGTCGATTCTCGTGTCCTCCCTGCCCTCAGCCTCGTCATCCTCCTCTCCTTTTCCGGCCCCTGCGCGGCCGCTCTAGCCGCCGTCGTCACCGTTGCCGCCTCTAGCATGGTTGATTTTCCCAGCGGGTTAGCTCCGCCATGTGTGTTCAAACGTACAACTTTTCAATCTTGGCTCATGTGGGGCGCGATTCTATTCCGGGCGAAAGCACCGGGAGCATCGATTTGTTTGAAGGACAACTGTAGGAATAGCCCGAAATCGGGATGAGTGGTATGTTATGATTCCGAGGATTATTTCCGAAATTACTTAGGATTATGAGCAGGACTGCTGTTTGGCGGCAGGAGGGTCTACGTGTAGTGCAGGGGCTGACCAGAGGCATGAACACAATTTGGCCCGTGCGGCAGGACTAGACCATAGCCAAGTAAGAGCTGAAGTGCACTGCGAGAAGTCAGCCCAATGCGTCACATGGGTGCAGGAAGGACGCGCATGTTGCAGTGAACCGTTTTGGAAGGCGCATGCCGTCCCCTGCAAGAGTTGTGATGAAAGCCTTCGCTGAGCCAGGGAAGTACTTGAATAGTCATAGTTGCGCGAGATGCTCGCGAGAATATCTGGATACACCAACCTACTTGGCAGTTTGGGCTGATATGGAATCTGCACAATGCAGGACAACGAGGAAGGCAATAAGCAGACAAGTGGTTATTTGCGAGAAGCACATGGTCAAATCTGGCAGGTCGGCTCAAGCATTGATCGCGTCATCGCTTGTGAAGTCCATTATTCTGTGTTGGTCGCGGTGATCGATGGCTTTGGGCTGCAGGAATTGTTAAGCTTCGACCAACCTAAGTGAGACTTGAGCTACAGAGCGAACCGAGTGCCGCATGATCCGTAGCAAACCTGGTAGGGTTATGACTTGCTCTGCGTAGCGAGGTAAGGCAGTCATGGTTTCAGGGTGTTTTTTTTGCACAGAGACGTTACAGCGACGTTAATGTGGGCGCCGACAACGTCCTGGCGCGTGTGCGGATAAACGCACGCCATCAAAAGCAAATTGCAGCACTCACGTTCGCGAGACAGCAGCACGTGCTTCGAGGCAGCATGAGTGAGCGCCAGCCTAAGGGTTCTGGTGAAACCAGTTCGGCTTCCTGTCCGACAGCGCGCTGGGCTTTACGTCAGGGTAGGTTTGCAATGTCCAGTGCGGGTAAAGACGAGGTAGCGCCACTTCCACTACACGCGCACCACACCATGATACCTACAGCCTTGAGACGGCACGGCTGTAGCAGGCAAAGTCAACCACTTAACGAAATACTCGCCACGTGGGTGGGCGGCGTATGGCTATTTCAGGACGACTGGTTGAACTTTAGGTGTTCGCCTGGCGCGCGTTGACCACAAAGGTCCATGCTCATCGCTATGCATCCATGTTGCTCAGGTTTCGCTGGCCGTTAACGTCACCCCTCCACTGTGTGCGACGCTCTGGGGTCGAGGAGCATTGCGCGGGGTATAATGTGCCGGGCGGAGTGACTGGTCATATTGCCCACTTTGCTACACACTCTCTGTCTGCCAATGTTGTTGCTATACCGCTATGCATGAAATTCTGCATGAAACAATCTTCCTAGCTTTCCACAGAGGAGAGGAGGGAACTCCCCCTCGTCGTTATGATTCGTCGTCGGCGTCGCGTCCGCGTCGTCGTCGTATTCGTTGACGCCGCTGTCGGCGTCGTGTTGCTCTCGGCGTGCGTCGTCGTCCTGCCGCCCTCGGCACGAGGGGCCGCCCTCGCCGCAGGTGATGCTGCACGCGCGCAACGTGTGGAAGGCGCCCGCCTGTCGCCTCGGCTCGACCCCGGCTCGGCCCAGCTCTGCTCCGCGGCTCGACGACGACGACGATCGAAACCCCTGGCCGTCAAAAGCCGATCAGGGTGGACAACTGGCCAGGATGAACCCTGTCCACGGACAGGTTTTGAACACATGTGGAGCTCGTGGATCGAGCACTTACGACGAAGGCGACGACCCATTCCCCATCGAGGATGGAGGTTCGAGGTCGTTTTGGGGGCTTCCTAGGCCGCCATCGTGGCCACAGCTGGATCCGCCGCGAAGTTCAGGGCGGAAGGCACCCCTGGACAGGTCTGGGGGTGGACGATACGGTTGGGGATCGAAGATTTTGTTCATTGCCGAGCATTCGAGCCAGTTTGGGTGCGGTAGGCCTCGTGCTCTGAGGCTACCACGTGCGCGCTCTCTCGAAGAAAGAGCGCGCTTGTGGCACACTTCTCACCAAAAGGGGGTCCCCAGCTTCAAGCTATTCCCCCCCCTCCCTTGGAAAAGGGGGGGCTTCCGACGCTCTCCCCCCCTCCCCTCCTTTTGTGGGTATTTTTTAGCTGGGGGGGACCTAGCTAAGGAGGAAGGGCTTGGAAGCTCCCCCCCCCTCCCCGCCTTTTTCGGGGGAGAGCTCCCCTTTCAAAGGGGAGGGGGGGCTTCCGAGGCTACCCCCTCCCTTCCTTTGGTTTGGATGTTGTAGGGTGGGCTTGGAAGCTGCCGGCCCCCTCCTTTTCGGGACTGGGGGTAATCCCGGGCTGTCCTTTCAAAGGGGCTTCTGAACCTACCCCCCTTTTCCCCTCCTTCTGTTGGCTTTTCCAGCTGGAGGGCCCTGGCTGAAGGGGGGGCTTCTGAAGCTACTTTTCTTCTTTGGGTTTCGGCGCCTCATTGTTTTTTTTGCGTATTTGTGGTTTCCGGCGTCGCTTTGGATTTCGGCGCGTCTTTAGTTTTCGGCGCCCCTTGGGCCTTTGGCGCCCCTTCGGTTTTCGGTCCTCCTGTGGATTTTCGGCGCTCCTTGAGTTTTCGACGTCCTTCTGGTTTTCTGCCGCTCTTTTGGTTTTTCGGCGCATCGTTGGTTTTCGGCGCCCACTTGGGTTCTGGCGCTCGGCGCTCTGTTGGTTTCTGGCGCCCTTCTGATTTTCGGCGAACCTTTAGTTTTCGTCTCCATTTGGTTTTCGACGCTCTATGGTCTTCGGCGCTCATTTGTTTTTTCGCGCCCTTTTGGTTGTCGGCGCATCATTGGTTTTCGGCGGCCCTTCGGTTTTCGGCGCTCCTTTGGTTTTCGGCGCTCCTTAAGTTTTCGGCGCCCTTTTTGTTTTCGGCGCCCTTTTTGTTTTCGGCGCCCTGCCCGTCTTCGAATCTTATGTTGTTTTCGGCGCCCCTCTCGTTTTCGGCGCCCCTTTGGTTTTTCGGCGCCCTTGTGGTTTTCGGCGCATCGCTGGTTTTCGGCGCCCCTTTGGTTTTCGGCGCTCATTTTGGTGTTCGGCGCCCTTTCGGTGTTCGGCGCCCCTTTGGTTTTCGTCGCTTTTTTGGTTTTCGGCACCCCTTCAGTTTTCAATGTCCTTTTGGTTTCGCTGTGCCCTTTTGGTTGTCGGCGCCCTCTTACTTTTTCCGCGCCCCTTTTTGTGTTCGGCGCCGTTTTCGTGTTCGTCCTCTTTTTGGCTTGCTGCGCCCTTTTGGTTATAGATGCGTCTTTGGTTTTTCGGCGCCCTACTGGTTTTCGGCGCATCGTTGGGTTCTCGGTGCGTTTGTGGTTTTCGGCGCCTCTTTTCCTTTCGGCGCTGCTTTGGTTTTCGGTGCCGTTTTGGTTTTCGGCACCGTTTTGGTTTTCGGCGCCCTGTTGGTGTTTGGCGACCCTTTGGTTGTCAGCGCCCCTTTGGTTGTCAGCGCCCCTTTGGTTTCCCGGCGTCCTTTTCAAGTTCGGCGATCCTTTCGGTGTTTGGTACCCTTTCGGGTTTCGGTGCTCGGTGTTCGGGTTCGGCGCTGCTCTGGTGTTCGGCGCCATTCTGGTGTTCGGCGCTGCTCTGGTTTTCGGAAATGTTTTGGTTTTCGGTGCTCGCCGGTTTTCGGAGCCTTTGTTCTTTGGTTTTCGGCGCCTCGTCGGTTTCCGACGTTCGTTATGTTTTCGGCGACTGGTTTTCGGCGCCCCGTTGCTTTTCTGAGTTTTTTGGGGTTTTCGGCGCTCATTTGACTTTAGGCTCCCGTTCGGTTGTCGGCGCCCTTGTGGTTTTCGGCGCCCCTTTGTTTCGGCGCCCCTTTGTTTCGGCGCTCCTTTGGTTTTCGGCGCTCATGTGGTTTTCGGCGCCCTTTCTGGTTTTCGGCGCACCTTCGGTTTTCGCGGTTTTCCGCGTTCCTTCGGTTTTTGCTGTGCCTCTGGTTTTCGCATTTTTTCGGTTTTCGGTAGCTCTTTGGTTTTCGGCGCCCCTTTGGTCTTCGGCGCCCTTCCTTTTGCCAAAGGGAGGGGTGGGCTCTCCGAAAGGGTGAGAGAAGGAGGTGGGGTTTCTTGCAGGGGGGGCCCAAAGGGGGGGGGGGGGCTAAGCCCCCCCTGTTGGAAGGTGAGGGGGGGCAGCTTCCGCAGCGCGAAGGGGGGGGGAGGGGGGGTAGCTTCCGAGGGGCGGAACAAAAGGAGGGGGCGGGGCTTCCTGCAGGAGAGTTCCACGAGGGGGGTAGTTAAGCCCCCCCCCCTTTGGACAGGCAGGGGCGGGGCGGGGAAGCTTCCGGAGGACGAAATGGAGGGGGCGGGGAGGAAGGGAGGGGAAGGGGGGCTTCCAACAGGGGGAGTCCAAGGGAGGGGGTAGCTTAGGGGAGACCCCCCCTTTTGGGGGTGTACCGTGGGCGCGCTCTCTCTCTCCCAAGAAAGACCCGCAGCCTCTGTTGGCCCTGATGCATTCGGCAATGCCAGCACCCTGTATGTAGGTCATGCGCGCGTGCGTGAGACAAAGCTATTTCGCCAGAGGCGGTAGGGTCAAACATCATGTTGAGAGTGATTGAGGAGAGTCGAGAACGACGGAGGGAGGAAGAGCATCGATGATTACCGGGGATCGAACTGAATCGAGTAGGGATCGAAGATCGAGACAGGGGGAAGCGGGGGGTGGAAGGATGGAGGACGAGAGATGAAGATGGAGGGTACTCTGATGAGGAGCACGGATGAGGAGGAGGACCCTGAGCAGGAGGAAGAGGAGGAGGAGGAGGAGGAGGAGGAGGAGGGGGAGGTGGTGCGGGAGGGAAGATCGGGTATAGGGGAAGGTTGAGGAGGAGGATTGAGTATGGTGATGATGCCGCTGACACTAGTATTACTTCTGCTTAGGATGATATGGGAATGTTGTGGATAATGTTTGTGATGATGCTGATGATGATGCTGATGCTGACGCGGATGCTGTTACTGATGATGATATTGATGATGATAATGTTGTAGATGAGGATCGTGATGATGATGGTGATGATGATTGTGAGGGTGATGGGGATGATAATGATGGTGATGGTGGTGGTGGTGATCATGTGTCCATGATGATGACAACGACGACAACGATCGTGATGCTGATGTTGGTGAGCGAATGTGATTGTGATGAGGATGTCGGCGACAACGGATGTGTAATGATGCTTGTTGATTTGATGATCATGATGAAGGTGATGTTGGCGATGAAAATGGTGCGCATCTCTGGTTTTGAGGATTGCTATGTCGAACGCTGCTGTTGATGATGGCAGTAATGGTAGTGGTGATGATGATTGTTATGACGGTAGCGATGATGAGGAGGCGTTTATCTTTCGTCGTTGCCGTCGCCGTTGCCAACGTCGCCCTCCTCCTGGAACCCATTACACCCAGCGTCCGTGGCCTTTGCCTTTGCCCGCTTCCCCTCTCGCCCTGCTCCCTCCAGGCTGTCACAGCCATGCTTGCCGCCTCTCCTTCTCCGTTTTCTCCTCGGCCTGCAGCTCTTCTTTCTCTCTCTCTCTCTTTCCCTCTGGCCTGCCTCCTCCTTCGCCGCTGCTCCTCCCATATCCTCGCTCTCCTCCTCATCCCTCCTCGCCACGCGACGGGCAAAGCTCAGTGGGCATACCAGGCATCACCAGGAGGTCTCCGAACTCGATCAACACCCGGCATCCCTGAGCAGTCTTGAGCGGCAGTGGCTTAGAATCACCGCATCAAGCAGCGTTCCCCGCAGCCTGTGTTGGCAGGCCGCCGCGCAAGAGCCTTCACAAACATGCCAGGCACGTCCCTCCCAAAGGAGATAGACACGGGCCCTTGACCAAAGTCAGAGGGCACGGGCGGCGGTATGCAAGTGACTCCAACCCAGCTTGTGCCGGCGAGCGCAAGTGGCCCCGAGACGGCCGACGGCCACGCTGCCGTTGCAGGCGCGGAGATTCCCCATGTGTAAGGCTCATCCTTGTCGCTGGGCAGGCATTGCTAAGCGGCCCCTTACGTGCGCTGGAGACTGGCGTTGTCAGGTCTGTGCCGCGTTGGCCTGGGCGCCAATCCTTGTCAATGGACAGACATTGGCATCCGTGCCCCATCCTTGTCGATTGACGGAGGGGCATCCAGCCTCAATTCTGAGGAACTCGCGTAGGTATCCCAGATCGAGTGCCGAGCATTCGTGGTAGGCGCCGCGCTTTACAGGAAGCCCGTCCCTGCCGCTGCGCAGGCATTGGCGTCCAACCCGCTTACTTGCCTAGCTGGCCCTGGACGCTGGCGGTGTCCGTCGGTGCCGAGCTTGTTTACACGCCCATACCTGTCAATGGACAGGGATTGGCATCCGCGCCCCGTGTCCAGAGCGAGGATGGCCGTCCTTATCGATGGGCAGGCATGGGCATTGGGCATCCCACCCTCGCGCTGAGGGACTTGTTCAGAAACCCGAAGACGGTCACGCATTTGTGGTAGGCGCCGCGCCCCACACCCGAGACCCGTTCCTGCCGGACAGACATTGGCAGCCGACCCGTTCACTTGCCTGGCTGTCTGTGGACATTGGCGGTTCGCTTCAACGGTATCCCCATTGTGATTGCTCTTCCGCCAGCGCAGTTACTCTGCCTAGCCGCCGACGCAATAAAAATAGACATTGGCGGTATTGCGTCGGTGTCGCGCTCGTTTGGATTCCCATCTTTGTCAATGGACAGGCATTGGCATCCGCGCCCCATGTCCAGAGCGAGGATGGCCTGCTTAGACATCCGAAAACAGGTTCCAAACATTCGTGGTAGGCGTCGAGCCTCACCTGGACGCTCGTTCTGGTCGCTGGATAGGCAATAGCATCCGACCCTTCCATTTCTGTACCTTGCTGTAGACCCTGGCGGTGTCAAGTCGGCGCCGGGCAGGCATTGGTATCCGTGCCCCATGTCCAAAGTTGCGATGCCCATCCCTGTCGATGTACAGACATGGGCACGCCGCCCCCATTCTTAGGGGCTCGTTTAGTCAGACTCCCGAGAAAAAAAGCGTGAAGCATTCGTGGTAGGCGCCGCGCTTCATTTGTGAAGGTAGTTCTTGTCGCTGGACAGGCATTGACATGATTTCCTTATATGCCAAGCTTGCTCTGGACAGAGTCTGGCGGTGTCAAGTCGGCGCCGTGCTGGAATTTGTACCAATCACTGTCGATGGAGTCGTTGACAGTCATTGGTCCTCGCCCCATGTCCTAAGCTGTTACGCCTATCACATTTGATGAGCACATGAGCATCTCACCCTCGTAGATAGGGTTGTTATATATATATATATATATACCAGGGACAGCGCAAATCATTCAAGGTAGGCGCCGCCCCTTACTTGTGAAGCCCGTCTCTGTCGAGCATCTTACATGTTTATGTGTTCACGGGCCTGTTCCAGAGCAGCTGGTTGGTATTTAGGATCCCGCACACACAAGCCTGCAAGGCGCGCTAGTCGCCAGGTGGCGATGCTGGTGCCATTCACCAAATCCGTTGGCAACGTGATTCTATCCTAAGGGCGGGCTCCGACTCCGCTTGCTGTCCCAGTTGTGTCTGCAAGGCGCTTGTGTTGTCATGCGTTGTGGGTGTATTTGTGCTCGAGTGTCGGGCAAGTAAGTATGTCTTGGGCTGATTGAACTCAAGGGAGGTCGTTGGGTTGGCCTTTACTGTGGTTGTTGTAGGCGCTGGGTGCAGTTCGGGTCTGTGTTGCTGGAGGTATGTGGTCACGTCGTCGTCCCACCGCTTTCGCTGTTCGCCTTGTTGTCGTTGGCCTCGTCGTCGTGAGTTTTTTTCCTGGATGCCAGTGTAGTGCTCTTCACGTCCATCTGGTGTGTGTGTGTGCGTGCACGGTTGGCAAACCTTGAAACCATGCGCCATGAGTTTTGCCTGTGACTTGTCGTCTTGATGTTGATTTTGATTCCGTGGTGCTTCATGAGGTGCTCCGCGCGCCGCGTAGCACACTGAATTGAGTCGACCCAGGTCTCCATATCCATCTCAATTCTCACATCTGCGGTGACGTCGTCGCAGTCGCTGTGCTTGTCCGGAGTTGCAGTTGTGCCGCGTGGTGGCGAATTGTTGAGCTCAGCCGCTCGTGTACGCCTACTGACCAAAGTGCAGCACTCCTACGGCCCCTCCCAATTCTACTGGCTTGTGGCAGCGCTGGTCCACTTGCACCTCGACCTGGGACATAGTTGGCACCTCGTTTTCTTGCTGCTCACCTGGACTTGGACCATGCGTCTTTGTTGCATGTGCTCATGACCTTCTTCTGCACCCGTTTCTTTGGCCTTCTTGCCCCACTGGATTCCACTGTTTGGTGGAGCTTTTTGCGCGGCCTGCACTGGGCTTCGGCCTGGTGCCTGGTCGCTGCTCCCCTCCCTCTCCTTCGCCCACGCCTGCTCGCCGTGCCCGGCCGCCCGCGCGGGCGCTCCTGCGCCGGCGCTAACGGCGGCTCGGTGCAGCGCGGCCCAGGCGCCACCGGGTCGGCTCCCCACCGCCCTCGTGGCCCGCGGCCTCGCTGTCGTCCCGCACCGCTCTGCGCGGCCCCGTCCAGCGCCTCGTGCTCATGTGGGTCGCGACGAAGTGGCCTGCGATGGGCAATCCACGACCTGGAGGCACGTCTCGTTATGTTCGTGGTGTGTTGTAACTTCCTCGTTGGTCCGCGCTTTGCGCAACGCCACCTATTGGCCTGCCCTTGACAAGTGAGGCGCAGTGTCGTTGCCCTAGGTACCCGTGCAATCCCCGGGGCACCTTGTGGCTGCTTGTCAGAAATGCTCGGTGCCTTGGATTCGTGGTTGCACTCCTACGGATCCGTCAACTTGACTTTGCCGCACTGCGCGTCCCATTCGGACCTGGGTGTGACTGTGACTGTCTCGGTTGTCTTACGAGTGCGACCCGCCCTCCGGCGCATCCCGAAGACTTCATGCTCTGAGGGCCCTCCCGCCGCGCGTTGCCTCTCACCCCAGTCTTTGCCTTTCGTCCATTCGTTCTTTCCATCTCCTGTCTGCGCCTTAATTTGCTTCGTTGCGTTCCACCGTTGCCCTGATGCTGCTTGGGTCTAAGTGGCCGCCGACAAAAGAGGTGGCGGGTTGCTGTCTGCCCGCTGGTGCTATCGGTGCAGAGGACATTGCCCGATGTTTCAACGTTCGTGTCGTCGACAGCCTTGGTTTCGTGTCTGCAGCGGGGGATCGCGTGGCAGATGGTGCGTCGTCGGAGTGTCCCGATGATCTTGCGGGACATGCGTCGCTGTGTCCGCCGCATGTGTTGTCGGACAGGTTCCGTGAGCGTCCACGTCTTGTCTTTGTTCTGGTCTGTCTGGGGAGGGGGACTCAAAGTTCGGCCCCTCATGGGGAGGTCAATTTGGAAACGTCTATCCAGGCGTTGTGTCCGATAGCCAGCCTGTTTTGAGGAATGCGCGCGGCTTGGCTTGAAGGATATTGGGCTCAAAAGCCCGCCAGGCGTGCAGGTGTCGATGTTGGTGCGATTCATAAGGTCCGATGGCAACGGGATTCGTCCCCTTGAATGGGTGGTTCCGACTACGCTTGTTGCCCCAGCGGTGCTTGCCAGGCGTGTTCGTCGCCTGGGGATGGGCCTGTCCGGGGAGGGGTCTTCAAAAACCAGTTCCCCTCTTGAGTTGGTAGTCTACCCCGTACCAGGACACTGTCGACCCAAACTCCTGCAGGCAGGGGCGACAAGGCAGCATCGTGCTATCTGGCGGCCGTAGGCCTCGGGCATTTGTTCGGTGGGCGATTCTGTTTTTGGACTAGACTGTTCGCTCAGTTGGAACAAGCCCGGAGTTTTGGATCAAGACGGCCACGGGCCATATGGCTCCGTTGGCCCAATCGCAGCGGTGGGGCTAAAATTTCCTCAAGGCCATTCTGTCCCCGAAGACAAGTACGAGGAGATTCCACCGTCTTTGCCACTGTCCAGCTTGAGCCTGATGGTTTTCGTTCGGACTCATTGCCTGTTTGGGCACTTTGCCCAAGCCGAAGTGTCTCCATATAGCCAGGGCGTGGTACCTGGACACAACCAATACCGTTACTGGGAAGCACTCCAGCGCACTCTTTCGTCCTGTCCAGTGATTTCCTTTCCCCGAGGGTCCTCCGCGATAGGCGCTTGCAGCCACCGTGCTCTCGAGGGTGGTGACCTCAGGGCATTGGGCCTCCCCGGCGGTGTTCGGGCGCCCAAAATGCCATCATTTCAAGGCTTCGCTCCTGGTCTCCCTCCTCCGCGTCTCATCCTCCGCTCCTCCTCGTCCTCTTTCGTTCTCGACTGGTGTGAGGCCGATCCGCGCTGCCCTCTGCACTGTCGGGCTTTGAATCGCGCCTTGCCCAATGTCGTGCGATCTTGTCAACGCGTGCTGCTCGCTCGGCCTCTCGGGCACGCTGTGTGTTTCGCGTTTTGCGTCTCGTGCTTCGTTTGTTCGCGTTGCTGCCGTTCTGTCCACCCCTCTCGGCCCCTCGCTCGTTCGCGGGCCCGTCCCTGCTATCTGTTGAGCTCCACCGTTTTCTTTCAGGGCCGGATGGGGTCTTCAAACCCAGGCGGACTCTTGACTCCCACTCCCCCTGGCAGGGTTTTCATTGTCGAAGTTCCATGACTGTTTCGGTTCGGTCTAGACTTGTCAAGACGCGACACTTCTGTTGATTCGCGACGTTGAAATTTCAGGAACGGTGCACGATGGGAGATTCTCAGATTATTGTCTTCAATTGGGCCACTTCCTGCTGTGAGTCTAATTTTTCTCGGGGCCTATGAGCAGGGAGCTTGGAGGGAGGGTTATTGCAACATCGTTGATGCATCTTAGGTTTACACTGGTCCTCGTCCTCCTCTCCCCTCTTGTCCTCGTCCTCCTCTTCGGCCTGCTCCCCCCGGCTGTTGCCGCCGATCTCGCGGCCCGCTGCCCCGCCAGCCCGCGAGCCGACGGGCCGCGGCGGCGGGCCCTGTAGGGCACGCCGGGGCGGTAGGGATGATTATCGAGGAGGAGGAGGAGGAGGAAAAGGAGGAGCATCGAGGAGGAGGAGGAAGGAGGAGGAGGAGGAAAAGGAGGAGGAGGAGGAGGAGGAGGTAGAGGAACAATGAGCAGGAACAAACATCGAAGAGGATCGAGGATGAGGAGCAGGAGGAGGAGGAGGAGGAGGAAGGACAATTATAAGAAGACAAGACGGGGTCGAGGATGATCCAGGACGGCTGAGGGATCGAGGATCGAGGATCGAGCAGCATCGTGACGGGTGGATCCTAGAAGGTCGAGGACATGTGACCGAGGGCCCACTGGAAGCCGCTAAGGGCCGCCAAACAAAGGCCACCGAAGTCCCTCCGAATGTTTTTGGGGGCCCTTGCAAGCATTGCCTCGCCCGAGGTGATGCTGAGCAACGGCGCAGAGGTGCAGTGCACCCTCGGCGGCAAGTGCGCCCCCCGCGCGCCCTCCCCGCCAGTCGCTGCCATTGCCGCCGCTGCGGGAGGAGGGAGGACCCAGGATCGATGAGGGAGGATCGAGGTTCGAGGAGGAGGGGGAAGGAGAGAGGGAGGGAGGGGAGTGGGAGCTGGGCGAGTCGCGCAACGACCGCCACAATTGTAGCCGCGAGTGGCATTCCGCGAAGCACAAGGAGCTCACATGCTTCGCGGCGCCCATGGAGCAGGCCGTCCACGTCCTCGATTTTTCCACTAGCGACCCAACCACCGGCCGCCAGATCTACGTCGACTGGTGCATCGTCTGCGCATACTCGACCAACGCTCCGCGTATGGGTACCAGCGCCGACAAGGATGTCTTGGCGGCCGCCCAGACATAACATTGATGAGAAGCGAGAGCGTTTCCCCCCCACAAGTGGTTGAGCTGTTCCTCGTCGTCTTCTAGCCGGGTGGCCGGGCCATCGACGAAACAACGAGCTTCGTCCGCAGCGACGGAGCAGGCGTGGACGACGGCGAACGTTTCGAGCTGTTGGGTGGCCTCTTGGCAGCGAAGTAGCAGAACCCCCCAGAGGGGCATGTCGAGATGCTGGTTGGCGCGCTCTCGGGCGCTATGCCAGCAAACCCCCGGCCTGGGGGCCACCGACGCGGCGCCAACGACCACAACCACGATTATCACGACCACCCGCACGACGACCATTGCAACCGCCTTTCGACGAGCCCCCAGTAGCACGACCAACGCGACCACCACCATCTCAGGTTAGAAAGGCCCATCAATGAATCCCGAGTGGAATTCGATTTTCCCTGGTTGCGTGCAACAGATATGAAGACGCCGTCGGATGTCGAAATGCTTTGATTTTCTGTTTGCGTATACTTCATAAGGCTCGAATGCTCTCGGTGGGTACTGCCGGAGCGTCTCATGCGTTTCCATGGCTTTCGGGCGCCTATGCGCGGCGGTGTCGCGCGCGACGACTCGACGTGCGACGTAGATGGCGCTAGAGTTGTGCGATCGCCAAGAAGCGGACGGCTGCGCTTGCCCCAGGCCGCGCCCCGAAATTCGGAAATGCCATTCTCAATTCCGTAGAGGATTTTGGAAGTGGTTTCGGAGTGAATTTGGAGTTGACTTCGAGCGTTTTTGTTGTTTTTTTGGATTTGTTTGGCAGTGGTCGCACACGCACGCATTTGAGCCACCTGACATGTCATTCGACATTCACATCGGAATTGATTTTGCAATTCACTTCTAGAGTTTCCTCTCGCGTCGTGTCCACATGTGGCGTGCGTACTCATGCGCGCACTTCGCTGCGCATCGCGCGCAGCGCTGCGAGGCTTCCGCACGGTGGGCCTGCGGCGCGGCGCGCAGTGAAGCGCGTCCCCGCGTGCCCATTGCGGGTGCCTTGATGTGCTCGCGCGAAGGTGCTCGTGTGGCATGGTGCGCGGATTCTCGCGTGTCGACGTGCGCCCCATGAGGAGTGCGGCCCCGCGCGCCCCCCTCATCGCGACGGGCGCGCGCGGGCGGAATCAGTTCCCCACAAGGGAACCATGGACATTTTGTCACCCAGTGCTTGCTGCGACCTTCGGTGCTGAAGCATCTGCGCAGCGGCCGCCAGGGCCAATGCGACGAGACGCGGCCTCCGCGGCTATAGCCTCGACCGCCGCCGCAACGACCGCCGCTGCGACGGCGCAGCGATTGCCCCCCGGCTGCCGCCTGGAGTCCTTTTTCCCCGCCCTCCCCGGCCGAACGCGCCTGCGGCTTGCGCGCCCGTCGCCCCGTGCATATCTCCATCCAGTAATTAATTGATAGATGGCCCTCGTGTGCCAATGCGAGTGTGCATTTTCTGATTCTGCCCGATGCCCGCGGCCGCGTGGGCTCAGGCGCTCGTCCGGCGTTGAACGGCGGTCGGGCGCGGGCGCCGGTCTTGGGCCCCGCGCCCTCGACGCCGAGCGGCGGCGGGCCAGCCAGGCGCCTCGCGGTCGCGCCCCCCCCCCCCCCCGCGCGCGCCCGATGCTTCGGGCGGGCGACGTCGATTTCGAGGGGGCGCTCGCGCAGGCGGGGCGGCCGCGGACCTCGGCGCGGGGGAGGCGGGGCGGCCGCTGACGAAGTTCGCGGCCAGGCAGTGGCTGAGGAGCCAGCGCGGAAGTGGCTGAGGGCGTTCCATGGCTGCCCTGAATGGGCCGCGCTGGAGGGCGCGGGCCCAGAGCGGGCCTGGGGCGGCGTCGCGGGCCGCGCGCGCGCCCGCGCGGTGAGGTCGCGCGCGCGGGCCACGGGGGCGACGCGCAGATGGTTCTTCCGTTGTGGAGGGCGATTGATCGTCCAGTAGTAAGGATGTTGTCAAACTGTGTCCAGCTGTCACATGCTTAGAAGATGTTTTGCACATGCGAAAGCATATTCAAAGCTTTTGGAAGTGTTGCATGCAAGTTGCGCGCATTTTGTAATTCAATGGTAGGATTGTTAGGGCGTCCGTTGCCATGTCGCCCGCAACTCTCGCGCGCTCCGCGGCCCGCGACTTGCGACGATCCCGCGGCGCCAGGGGCTCCGAGCCGCGCGGGCCGACGGTGCCTGACCGAGCCCTGCGCGCCATGGCGCGGGCAGCGCGTGGCAGGCGCGGGCGAGAACGATTGGCCCTCCGCTCGACCCGAAGCCCAGCAGGTCGCCGCGAACGCGGAGGTGCTCTTCGGCACGGGCACAGGCCCGGCGAGGGGGGCAGCGCCGTTCCCCCGCGCGCGCATCGGGGCGAGGACCTCGCGCGGCACTGGCGCGGTGTGGCGTGGCTCCGCCTTATCAGGGCGTGGTCGGCGTTGTGCTGCGACGAGCGCAGCTGGCTTCCGCCGCGGCGCCTCGCCTGCGCGGGCGGGGGGCCGACGGCCGTGCCGAGGCGCGCGAAGAATGGAGGGGCAGGGCGCGCGATGCCAGGGCTGCCGCTCGCGGCATCTTGCGAGTGCTACGTGTTGTGCCCAGCGTGGATACAGACGGGCTTCGACCTGTGGCAGGAGGAGATCGGGACATCGAGAGGGGCTGCATCCTGTCTGCCAAGGCGCGACGACGCGGGGCAGGCGGTGGTCCGCAAGCCCGCCGAGCACGCAGAGGCAGCGGCAGCGATCCAGGAGGGGCTGGTCCAGCAGGTCGAGCTCCTCATCTCCGGGGCGGCGCGAGAGCATTCGGCGCGCGCGGCGATCTTTTCGGTCGCGGCGACGACGGGGATCTCGCAGTGCGAGCGCGACGACTTGGGCAGGTGGTCGCCGAGAGGCGCGGACAACAGCGCCGCGTGGTCGCGCGTTAGCTCAATCGGCGATTCGCGGAGATGGCGCGCTCCGGGGAGGCGCGCGTGGAGCTGGGCGGGGCGGCGGCCATTCCAGACCTGGCGACCTGGCTGGCGTCGAGGAAGAAACTCTCGGTGCAGGAGGCGGCGATCACAGCAGTGGGGACCTGCGCGGTCCTCGAGGCCATCGCTGGCGGATTGGCCGCGGCGCCTGGAGACAACGCGGAGCGGCCGCGGGGGGCGGCGACCCTGGAGGCCGCCGTCGAAGACGGAGAAGTGGAAGACGCCGCGCCACCGACGGGGACAGCAACGCCCCCCTCGAAGTGCGGAGGTGCCAGAAGGTGGCCTCGACAGTGCCGGCGATGACAGTTGGGCGAACGCGCGCATTGGCGCGCGCGTGGCCTGTCGGGGCGCCGGCCGCGACGCAGACTGGGAGCACCGCGCGTGCAAGCAATGGCCAGAGACGGCCCGGACTCGGCAGAGGAGGGCCGCGCCCGGGTGAGAACCTTGTCAACGCGCCCGCGGGGTCCGCGGGGTAGCCCCGAGCCCCTGTCGACAAGCGGGCGCCCCCCCGCGTCGAAGACGCTCGCCCTGCCCGCGGGCCCCTCCTGTCCGCCGCGGGCGGGGGGGGGCCTTGGCGGGGAAGGGCGCCGTCGCGCTGGGGGTGTGTCCTGTTGCAGATGGGCAGGGCTTCGGGGCCGCGCGGCGCGTCGCCGCCGCTCTGCCAGGCCGGAGGGTTCGTCTCTCGGTCCGCAGCCGTTTAGCTCAAACGGTTTGGATTGGTGTCTGCTTAAGCCGAATACCCATGCCCGCCCGGTTGCCTCGCCCCGCCTCCCTTGGCCTCCCGCCCTCACTTTCGCCATCGTCTGCTTGCTTCTTGTTCCCGTTTTCCCTTCCGTGCCGCTCTCAGTTCCCTTTACCTTCCCGCTCCTGCCTAACGCTGATAGCAGGGTGCCGCCGATGGCCAGAAGGCCACGTCCACCGATAGTTTGTTTGCTGTTTTTCCGAACCTGTAAGAACCCCTGGCAAGGAGGTCTGGGCGACCGCCCGACGGTCGTCGATTAGTCGCCGATTAGTCTTTGATGTTTTCGAGCCGCCTGCTTCAGCTTTCTTATGTATGAGGCCGCTAACCGTGTCAGCGACGTAGTTTTGAAACGCGTCGCCCATGTGTTCACGTGTGGAGGCTTGAGAAGGGAGGAATTCTTAACGCTTCGCGTATCCCCACCAGCCCATCCTACACCAGGCGCTCGAACGAAGAGCGCCGATGATCGGCAGCTGTTCTCCTCCCCTCTTCCTCCTTCTCCTCCGCCTTCTCCTCCTCCTCCTCTTCGCCTCCCTCTCCTCCTCCTCCTCCTCCTCCTCCTCCTCCTCCTCCTCCTCCGCCTCTTCCTCCTCCCTGGTGGCGTATTGGAAGTGTCTTCGAACGTTTTGGTGGGCTGTTGGGCCTTGCGGGCGGGCGGGCGGCGCTCCGCCCGCCCGCGCGCAGAGCCCAAGAGGGGGTCCAAGACGTCTTTTGGAACAATTTTGGAGGAGATCGATCAACGAAGGGGGGTTCCTAATTACAGCCCCCCCTTCTCAGGAGCCACGATCCTCGTGAGGGGTGTCGAATTTGAGCCTTCCCAGGAGTCGATCTTGGACGTTCTAACTACCCGCGGCCCCCCCTGTCCAGGTCAGTGGGGAGGGGGTAGGGGGAGGGGTAAACCCCTCCCCGGAGGGGAAGAAGGAGGGGTGGAAGAGGAAACGCTCTAAACCACCGACGCCCAGAGGGCTGGTGGGACTTCTTGGGAAGCTATTTTGGGAGGCTTGGGCTCCTTTTGGACCCGTCTGGGCGCCCTTGAAGGCCCTGCTGGGGCGCTCTTGGGGCAATCTTGGAGGACATCGGTCAAGGAAGTAGGGTTCCTTAATTAGAGCCCCCCCCCCCAGGAACTCCAAAAATCGTCTCCTGTACCCCTCTGGGACCGCTCTTGGAGCGCTCTTCGGCGCTCTTGGCGCCGTCATGGGGCTTTCTTGGGCCCTTCTTGGAGCTATCTTGAGCCATCTTGAAGCCATCTTGACGCCTCGGATGTGCATCGCAAGCGAAAAAGTGAGAACACTAAAAACATTGATTTTCCCTAGGGTGTTGAAGCATTTTGGCCTCTTGGATGCATCCTAATGATGCTCTTGTGGGCACTTGGAACCGTCTTGGAGAGTTCTTGGAACGCCTTGGAACATCATGGGGACCATCTTGAGGCATCTTGCGCTATCGTGAGCCATCTTGGAGGGTATCTTGGGCTCCCTGAGGCCCTCTTGGAGCCGTCTGGGGCCATCTTGGGCGCTCCAACGCGCCGCGGAACCCCCTGTCCAGGTCAGTGGGGAGGGGGTAGGGGGAGGGGTACACCCCTCCCCGAAGGGGAAGAGGGAGGGGTGGAAGAGGAAACTCGTTAAACCACCGACGCCCAGAGGGCTGGTGGGACTAGACAAGTTGAAATGGAGCAGGTGAAGGAGGAGGAGGAGGAGGAGGAGGAAGAGGACGAGGGGGAGGAGGACTGGGATGAGGAGGGGAGGAGGAGGAGGAGGAGGAGGAGGAGGAAGAGGAGGAGGAGGAGGAGGAAGAGGAGGAGGAAAGGAGGAAGAAGAGGAGGAACACGAGGAGGACGAGGAGGACGAGGAGGAAGAGGAGGAGGAGGAGGACCAGAGTGAACCCAGGATGCGTCAACGATTCTGCAACACACCCTCCCGTCCCACCAGGCCCCTTCTCACAAGTCCCTAGAAATTGTTTTAATCCACTGCGGGAGGCTTCCGCTTTGAATGATTCGGTGGGCCTGCCACCCAACCAGGGCCCAGTTTTGTAAGTGGTCCACCCGTCATCTTTTTGGCCAGATTGCACGCGGCGATATATGATACGACCGTTCGAGGAATTGTCCAACCATCGCCCCTTTAGACATCGATATGCCGTGCATTGGTATTGGCCTTGCGCAATTTTGGGGAGACTGTTTATCCGGTCGGTAGAAGTCTCGAGCGAGAGCCCCGCTTTGAAAAACAACCGCCCTCCACCGTGCACTTGTTGCGCAGTCTGGAAACTCAGGTATTTACCTTTGACAGAGTGCCACGCGAGAGCCCCATATTTGAAATGCGTCTCCATGTTGCACGCTTCGGAGCTTCGTGCCATACATGAATCAAACAGTCACGCGGAAACTTATTGAAAACGATAGGGCCCCCAGACTTGTAATTTGATGCTGGAATAACGAATGCGCATGGAGCTTGGCATTTGAAATATTTTACACTATACGTGGCGCAAATGCGAGGACCGCATGTTGAAAATTATTGGCCCTTAATTGTTATAGTTGTTTGGTGTCTTAGTTTCAGAGTAATAAACTGCAAGGACGTCGAGCGAAACGACTGGCCCAGCTTGCGGATACGTCAGATGATGTGACACGGAGGAGTTCCTTGTAAGGAAGAGGGATGGGTGGCGGAGGGGCAGCAGGGCGAGCAGGACAGGAGAGCGTGGAAACCAGGAGACGAAGAGAGAGAGAGGCACAACCGTGGCCCCTCCTCTCCAGCCTCACCACTTTCCGCTGGCTCCGGGCCGCTTGCGTACTTCTATATGCTCCCCCCTGGCAGGCAGGCGCGAACACCAGCTTTGATTTGAAGCCAGCTACAGCGAGAAAACCAACGCATCCCAAATAGTTGTCTTTCCTGCGTACGGGCCGCGAACCGCGACAACAGCGACGGCCACGACAACGTCGACGCTGGCGGCGACGGCGACCACGGCGACGACCGCGGCGGCGGCGAGATCGAAACGACGGCGACCGCGTGACGGTTGCGATCGCAACAGCGACACGGCGATTGCGGCGACGGCGGCGGCGGTGACGACGGTCTTGACGACGACGAAGGCGACGACGTCGGTTGCGCGGCGACGACGACGACGGCGAGGGTACAATTCTAGAACGATCCTCGTAGGAACATTCGACAGCTGAATCTCATGGAAAGTTTCAGATTTACCCTCAGGGCGCCCAGTCGAGCATGATTAGTCGTATGGGGATCGATCGGGACTGGGTGCATTGCCCTGTGTGCTTGAGGGGCCGAAGGGGGAAGGCAATTCGGAGTCGAGTAAGACAAGCAGCATCAATGTCTACTTTGGGAGGTTCGCGCGGTTTTCTTAGATCGGCGCTGGACACCTCTTCCTGGCGCGCGAAGTTCGACATGGGCGGCGCCAGAGGCACCGCCAACGGAGTCAAGAAAATTGCGCGGATCTCCGAACGTTTGTGCTCATGTAGTTTCTTTGAGAGATTGCTTGCCAGCATTATTCATTTCTGTTTTTGCAAAGCTAGTAGGCGGCCTGCCCGATGCAGAATCGGCTGGGTAGCGCTGACTCCCATTGGCCCCCGTTGCCTCCCGTTGTCTCCTGTTGCCTCCCGCTGTGGCCCGTGGCATGCGAGGGGTGTGCCGAATGGGCCCCGAGACTCTGTGAGGATGCCCCCGCTGGGGCCGTACGCGGGGAGTGGGGAGGAGAGACGGCCTTCCCTCCCACTTCGCCGTCCGCGTCCCTCCTCGTATACGGATGAGGGCGCGTGGGTTCGCAAAGCAGCAAGGCTGCATACACATACCGGTGGCGTTGCACACATATCGTTCGGTGTGGTGCTGCTGACCCACTTTTTGATGCTATCACTCGCCCTGGGGATAGCACCGAGGACGCCCTGGCATGCGGATAGCGTGCACCGGCGAAGCCCTCGCAGGTGGATAGCGTGCGCAGAGGGGACCTTCGCGGGGTGGCGCCAAAGGCGCCGCCCGGGGGGTCCAGCGCCGCCAGAGGGGACCGCTCACGGTCTATGCTGGTGCAGTCCTTTGTTACCCTCGGCCCGAGGGAAGGAGGGGGGGGCGCGGAGTTGCGCAGAGTGATACGTTTTGCAGCCGCCCCGAAGCTTGACCCCCAAAGGTTGCTGGAGGCTCCCTGAGGTCTCTGGAGGCCTCCAGAGGCTCAAAAGGGGTGGACACCTTGAGCCAAATCCTCGATACTCGAAGGCGTCGAGGGCAAAACTCGGCAACGCAGGGCGCCGAGGGGAGCGCAAGCAAATCCTCGGCCCTCGGAGGCAAAGCTTGGCAGCGCAGGACGCAGAGGCGAACGGGGAGGAAGGGCGGCCGCGCTGCGCGCAGGCTGAGAAAAAACAACATCAGGGTCCTGGAGGGCGACAGGGTCCCGCGCCTCCTCTGGGGGTGGGGACGGGAGCGAGGAGCGGAGCATCGGGGATGGGGCAGGAGGAGCAGAAAGAGCAGGAGGAGGAGGAGGAGGAGGAGGAGGAGGGAGGAGGGAGGAGGGAGGAGGAGGGATGAGGAAGGAGGAGGAGGGAGGCGGAGGGAGGAGGAGGAGGAGGAGGAGGGAGGAGGAGGAGGAGGAATAAGACGAGGGGAGGAGAAGGGAAGGATGTGTTGCTCTTGTTGGCTTGTTGTTGGGTTATCATATCAACGACACTGATTGTTGTTACCCCCTCCCGGTGCCCATTGTGTTTTGAAAATCACGTGCTCCTTTAAGAGGCTCAGATTGTGTTGGTGGCTCCCCGTTTGCAACCACGGCGGCTCCCGCCTGATATTTCCTCACAGGTTATTCCAACCTCGCGCTCTCGCGGCGGGACTTCCTCACAAGTTGGTTCAGGAATTGCGCTCTCGCGTGGCCCTTCCTAGCAATTGGTTCCGGCGCCGCGCCCTCGACATTCAGGAATCACGGAACCGCTCCGGCCTTTCTCACGATTAACTTGGGAATGGCGCTGTTGCTCGAGACTTCCTCGCGATTCATACAGGACTCACGCTTCAGCAACCCGCCTGCTCGACCTGGCCGCCTGGGCCCGCCTTTCCGACCCGCCTGTCAGTGTCTACTCGCCCGATTTGCCCGTCTGGTTCTGCCACGTGTTTTCTGCTACTAGCCCCCTTCCTGCTAATTTGTCTCGTGCTCAATCCTTCTCCCTCCCACTGCCATCCGTCCTCTCTTTGTGTGCTTACGTGCGTGCGTGCGTGCGTGCTTGCGTGCGTGCGTGCGTGCGTGTGTGTGTGTGTGTGTGTGTGTGTGTGTGCTTGTGACCATGTGCGTGTGCGAGTGTTTGTTCCTCTCCCCTGCGCATTGCGGCTGCATTCGCATTCGTATGCCCCACCAGTGCCCCCCGCCAACGTCACTCTGCCTGGCCGCCGACGTAAAAGTGCGTGTGTGTGTGTGCTAGTGTGTGTGTGCGTGTGTGTGCGTGTGTGTGTGTGTCGTCTTGGTGTACCCCTTTCTCCGTTTCAACACCCAGTGTCTGCGCGTTTGCGCTGCAGCCCCTCCTTGCTCTCCTCCTGTGGCCCCGCTGCGCCGCACCTGTCACCTTGGCACTCTGCCTCCCTCAGTGTGCTCATGGCGTCTGTGCGTGGCTGCGCGTGCCATCGCCTCCCCGCTGTCTGTCATTGCACACCCGTCCTTCTTGGCCCGCGCTGCGCCTCCCTGGCCTGCCTTGCTTCTCGTCCTCGCTGGTCTTCTGGCGCCGCTTCGCCTCGTGTTGCCTCCAGTAACTGTCGCACTGGCCTGTCGGCGTGTCTCTGCGTCCTCGCCTTCCCTCCCGCCCACGCTGCCCAATCCCGGGTTTGCGTATGGCATGGTTGATCCCCTCGGGCGGATCCTTGCCTCATCTTCTGCGGGCCCGGCCGCGCACGTCCGCCGTTTTTTCTCGTCTCTGGACTGTTGTTTGTCTCGTAGTTGCGCGCGAGGCCGCGGTGCCAACGGAATGTGTGTGTGAGTGGTTGTGTGTGTGTGTGTTCGTGCTGGCTTCCTTGTTATTGCTTGCGCCACCTGCAACCACAGCTCTTCTGTGTCTACGCCCGACGCTTGCTGGGAACTCTGTCGCTTGCATGTGTCCGCAGAGGTGGGCCATTTTCTGCGCAGCCTCTCTGGTAGGATTCATTACCGCTGACTCTGACCCAACAGCGTGTTGGAAGAAAAGTGTGTGTGTGTGTGGCTGTGTGTGTGCGCGCGCAGATCTTCATCCACAACGCTAGGTGCTCCTTTTCAGCCCAGCTGAGTGAGGCGGGTGGGGCACTGCTCCGAGGGAGACGGGGATGATCAGGAGGAGGCGGCGGCGGAGGAGGAGGAGGAGGCTGGAGTGGACCTGAGATGCGCCAGCGATATTGCAATACGCAATACGCTTTCCTGCCGCAAATTCCCCCATAAGTTCCTGCAACCCTGGCTGTTCACCAGAAGCAGCGCCCCCTAGAATCACGAGCGCCCCATGAGCGTGCGATTCAGGCGAGAGCCTCGTTCTGACAAGGAATGGCTCGCATCCTTATTGAGGAAGGTTAAGGTTGTATGATGACACAGTTCAACGATGTGTCCAGAGAGATATCTGTTTTCAAGGACCGCCCTTATCCGTGCCCCACCATCCGTCGTTTATGATCAAATATAACGGATGTCTGATCAAGCTTTCGCGGGGGGCATGTAGCATGTACAAGAGGAGCTCTTTTCGACGTTCACAGGCCTCCCCTCGTCAGATAGCTCGCGTTGGAAGAGGCCATCCGGCAAGTATTTGCAGAAACGATCGCGTGGGGGGGGGGCGGCGGCATGTGTGTCCCGCACAACCGATCTGAGGTCACCGTGGAGATGTCACCCTTCGACCTGACGCGCGGGAGAATCACCTTTCGCAGCATCGACTCGAACCTGGCGCGCCCCCCTCCTTCCCCCGTTCTGGATCGCCGTCGTGGAAGGGAGGAAGAGCCACCCCAAACCCTACAGGACTGGTGCGCTACTGAACAATGCGGCCCTGTTCGATTCCTTCCCTGGGGTGCGTTTGCTGACGGGTTCGCTTGTTGAGGCGCTTAATATGAGGGTGGTTCTTCTGCCCTTTTGTCGTTCGCCTCCTCCTGGCTCGTCTCGTCGTCGATCAGACGTCACGCATCGGTGCAGCTCGTCGCTGCCGACCTTCACGGAGGCGTTTCTCGTCACGACGAGCTTGATCCTCGCCAGTGTCCAAGAATTTCCCATCCTTTCTGTTTCCCACAATTTCCGCTTCCGGGGGGTCGTTTTCGTGCTCCGAGAGCATCGGAGAAGGTTCCAGGGGTCGATAGCTCTCTCAGGGGCCCTTGGATGGAAACATCACATCGTCGGATGCCGGGGCCAGGAGGTCCCTGGAGATTCCCGGAGGCCTCTCGAGGCCCAGAAGGTGCCAAACACGCCCAGAACCTAGATCATCTTTATCAATCGCTCACGGCGACGACGACAAGGACGACGACGAGGACGACGACGACGATGGCGGCGGCGGCGGCGGCAGCGGCGACGGCGCCGGCGACGTCGAGGACGACTACCACGACGACGTCCGCCACGGCTGCCTTGATGCCCGGGCTCCGCTGTGCCTCCTGGGCCTGCGCGCAAATCCCTCGCTGCTGGCTCGCGGTTCCTCATCGAGCCTCGACAAGGCCGCGTCTCGACGACGACCCGGGGGCCTTCCCCGAGGAGGAGTGCTTGCTTGCTCCTCTCTCCATCGCCTCTTGGCCAAGTAAGAATGCAGCGTGTGAGTCCAGTTCCCAGAGGGTATCTCGGGGCTTACTCTGAACTGCGCTGCTGCGTGATCGTTGTTGGATTTGTTTGGTGTCTCTTCTGTGACTGAACTCACGCATGCAGCGACGTCGCAGCTACACCTGCAACGGCGGGAACTGTTCTTGCTGGGTTGTCTGTCTCTGGCTGTTGCCATTAGTGGGCGTTTTTCTTGTTTGGTAGGTTTGACTACTTGAAGCAATGTTGGGGCCTCCTAAACAAAGAGATGGTTGGTGGAAAAGATGGCGCGGTATGGTCCGCCAGGAAAGGGCCCCCTAAGAAACCAATACAACCTCGCAACACACCTTGGGTAGTTTGTGGAAAGTACACCACTCGCTGATACAGTGGCCGACTATTTTGAAAAGATCCAATGGAACGCAATATTTGCAGATCTTCTATACCAAGTGGGCGCACAAACATCATAAATACACTACGCATATACACTGGGAGCTTCGATTTGGAATAGCTTCGACGTGCATTCCGGGCCCGCGCCGCCAGGAAGACTTGGGGCATAGACGACATACCGCCAGAAGAAAGCATTCTTGTCTTCTGAAGGAGCATGCGGATAAGTGTTAATCTCCTGCTAAAGATGTTGGGTTTTTTACACAGAAAGGTAGACGTTAGTTTGCCTGAGAATTATCTGCCTATTTTTGTGTTGGCGATCGGTTATCAACATGTGGCTTGGATGCTACGCAAACGGATTCGAAATTGCGTGGCCGAAAGCGTAATTCGTTCAACTTAATTTGGTTCCCGCCCGGGCAGAAGCACCTCCCAGACAATTCGCATTGTCAGAGGATGCTCGAGTCTGGCGAGAAATGTTAATTTTCAGGGTTGGTTGCGGTAGTACCGGGTGAATCTAAAGCGTTCGACCGGATCCAGCGCAATTCTCTTTTGTATGCATTTCGAAGATTCGGCATCCCACCATACATGTTGAGCATGACAGCGGCGATTCTCAAGCACAAAAGTTTTGTTTTGTGGGCACCTGCCATGAACTCCAGCAAACGACCTCAAGCAGCAGGAGTCGCACATGGTTGCCCAGTGTCACCACGTGCATGCATAGCCGTACAAAGTGCTGTGCTTTTTTCGACGTCGACAATAGGATGGCTGGCCGACATGATGCTGTCCGGGAACTCAATCATTCGGCATGATGTGATGTGTCGTACGCCAGCGACACAGTACTACTGAGCAGTGATTCTGGGAACCTTCAGACTCTACTCGGCACAGTCCTTGACGAAGGCGCGAGTTATGGAGTATTTCTGAATTGGGATAACACTGTATGCGTGGGTGCACATGACACTGGTACTGTGCCTTCTCCCGCCGGCACCCCGCTGAACATCGTGGAGGGAGCGGCGTACTTTCCACCACGTTTGAAAGCAAGTTGTTCGGCAAAACCTGAAGTAATTCTGAGAATTGGTTAACCCACGTCTGTACTTCAAGCTCTGTCGAATTGTTGGTCGCGCGCCAGTAATTGCCGCAATCGAGATATCCAGCTTGGCAAGGCAGTTGGTCACCAACTTGGCACCAACTGTTGGTGCCCAAGCTTTCTATAGTCCGGAGATTGCTTGGGCGCTGCAGGCGGGCAGAGCCCGTTTAGACAGCTTCCGCGCGCAATGGTTGGGACGTATGCGTTTCATTCGCCTGCCTCGAAATCGTGCTGCGTTTTGTGCTTTCTGCGTCACAGCCGCGATGCGCTCATGTTGCCACCGCGCGCCACATCAACTAGGACGGTTTAGAACGGGTCCGATAGTGACCTCGAGGCTTTTGCCATGGCCATCGAGCCTTGCAGTTGCACGGCTTCTAACTCAACATATTCATGTTTCATTTGCCAATGCGCCGCTTGGGCGCCAGGCTCGATTGATTGGGGCCTCCTACAGAATTCGTGTTGTTCTCTCGCCACTTGCTGCGAGATTTGCTGGTCACTCGCAGCTTTCTGCTCCTGCTCAAGAAGCCCACAGCATCCTCGGCCGAGGAGCGGGCCGACTGCGAGCACGGTCGATGTGTAGAAAGCGATCGCCACGCGCAATATGCGCCGCAGCCGCATGCCGTAGTCCACGATCTCTTCGTTCTAAGAGGCGTTGGCCCATTCCTACCAAACCTCCTAGCTAGCTGCGATGAGCTGAAGGCCCACGATGCTGCAGACTTGTCCATGGCGCCCTCGCCTGGTACTTTAGTTTGCCACACCCTTTGCTGGATGCAGTTCAGATCCCCGCCTTCGCCTCTGACCGCGCGTGATGACGTACAATCACGGCGAACAACTCGAGCATTCTCGACGCGTGTGCGGCCAGTTCGTGTCGTGTCGACCTGGCGGCGACCCAAGCGCGGGCGTTCAAGGTTGAACGCGACCGCTGGCCCAGAATCAGCCGTTGCCGAGCGACCAGTCCAATACAATCGGGAAGCCGCCGATCGCTCAGGGGTGAGCGATCCCCACCCGGTGCCAGAGACCACCGTGCAATTCGTCACGACCCGGAGCCGCCGCGGTGCATTCGAGGACCCTTTCGGGATCGTGCAGGAATCGGCGCCGCCCGTCGAGAGAGCCCCGTGCCCGAATGGGGTCGCGCCTCCCGACAGGTGGCGGCGCAGCCTCCGACCCTGTTGGCACCGCCGCTCTCTGAGAGTTGGGTTTCGACACGGCACGCGCCCGCAGCAGTGCATTGGGGGGCCTGTCGTGATCGCGCAGAGCTCGGATTCGCCCGCCGAAAGAGCCCCGGGCCCGAATGGGGGCCCGTAGTCGCCGACCAGCAGCCTCGCAGCCGCCGACAGTGACGGCCAATGCCAGTCGCAGGTCTCGGGTCGTCTTTGGGCAGTGCCACGTTCAATTGCCGTTACGGTGCGTTCGTGTCGTGTCGACGCGGCGGCGACCCCGCCGCTGGCGTGCAAGATCGAGAAGCCGCTGATTCAAATTTGGACGATCAACTGGGTGTCAGACACAAACGCCCAGGTCGTCATGACACGAGCTTGCCGTGCCTTTCGTTGGCTCTGTCTCCGACCGCTCTAGTTTCCTCTTTCTGCTCTGCGTTGTCGCCAATCGTTAATCCCTGCATGGCCCTGCTGCTACCCTCCGTTGCTTTGAATCTCCTTTGCCGCCCCGACCGTCAGAACTTGACCCGGGGTGAGAGATTGCCCAGGACCCAGAAAGGGTCTGGGCACAGATTTTGAGTGGACCTCGGATGCGGTAGGCTCGCGCCGTTTCGACGCGACGCGACGCGACCTTTGATGGCCACCTGTTGCCTGGAATCGGCTGATATCGAACGACATGCGTCATCGGAAGACCGCCGATCCTTCAAGGTTGAAAGATCCACGCTGTGTCAGAAACCAAGGCCGCGGTCGTCACGACACGAGCTTGCTGTGGTCGAGGTCCCTGCCGTGGTCGACGGCGCATGCAACCCTGACTTGCCCTCGGGTGATCGGGCCTGAGCATCGACGGCAGCGCCGCCATCTCGACGATGCCAGGCCGATCCGGGGCGTCGCAGGGTTCGAGGCACGCCGCGGCCCGCGTCCGCTTCGCCGCGTCGCGCTCCAGCCCCTCGGCGGAGTCCCGTTCGTCCCTGCCGGAGTCCATGTTGTAGGGCGAGCTGGCCCCGCCGCAGTCGAACAGCCTGGGCATCTCCGCCAGCTCGGGTGCGAGCTTGTGGCCCGGCTCCCAGGAGAGACCCTCTGGCTGGGCATCGTCTGACCCCAATGTCCCCCCGTCCCGCTGGGCCATGTGGTATCTCAGCCCCACCAGCCCACTTTTTGGGTAAGGCGGCCAGTGGGGATAGGGATCTATTAAGCGATGCTCATCGGCGTCCGCGAGGTGTGCCGCGTTAGCAGGTAGCACCCGCTTTACGATCTTTAGCCCGATGTTGTGGATGAGCAGCCTCTCCCAGCAGTCCAGCTGGAAGTCTGCATCCACCCTGAAGTCGTCGACGTGACTTTATCATTCTGGGGGGGAGAAGCAGGTCGACGACGGCGACGACGAGGGAGCCAGATGCCGATGCTTTGTCGTTTGGTTTGGGTCTCCTGGAGGGCCCTCGTCGCCACAGCTGTTTCGGTACAGGTTGGGACCGCGCTCCAGAAAATGCCCAGGGGTCGGTGCGAGGAAGCGAAGAACGAGAACGAGGAGGACGAGGAGGGGGAGGAGGACCGAGGACGGATGATGACAAGGGCGGAGGCGGAAGGAGGACGACGACGAGAACGAGGAGAGAGCATATGGATATGGCAAGAGGGTAAGCTAGAAGAAGAGGAGGAGGGGGAGACGGAGGAGGAGCAGGGGGAGAAGGACGAACACGAGGAGCAGGAGGAGAAGGACGAACATGGAGGAGCAAGGGCGTACGAGAGGGAGGGGGACGAGAGGAAGTGCAAGGAGGAGCAAAAAGGCGCGGAAGGTGAGTCCTCCTCCTCTTCCCCCTCCGCATCCTTACCTTCTTGTCGCTCCTCCCCCCTGCATGCTCCCCCTAAGACTTCGACTCCGACGCCGCCGCCGACGAAGACGACCTCCTCCGAAGACTTGCGAAGACCTCGAGAATCGACGACGACGACGACGATGATGGACGGGCGGGGGGCTAACGGCGACCGCCGCCGCCGCCGCCGCCGCTGACGACGACGACGACGACGACGACGACGACGACGACGACGACGACGAAGACGACGACTGCCGACGACGACACCCACGACTCACGACGCAGAACGACGGCTAGCGACGACGGCCGCCCGCCCGCAGCTCAAGACGGCCAAGGAGAAGGCGGACGAGGAAAAGGAACGACGAAAGGATCACCCCCCCAGCGCCACGCCGCTCTCGTTGTCGTCGGTCGCGGATCCTGAGGGATCCAGCAGATTCTCGTTTGAAATCGGGGCTTGTTTTCTTCGGGCCGGGGACGAGAGCTCTGGGGCCGTGGATTGACAAGTCAAATCGTTGGAAGTCGGGGGCTTGAGACTCGAGGCCCGAGGATCGAGGCTCTTTGGATTTTTCTGGCTCTTGGGCCTCGGGAGGCCTCTGGAAGTTTCCGCGGGATCGGAAGGCCAGGGTGGGGAGGGAGGACCCAAAGACCTGTGCCCCATCAGACAACTCGGCAGAGAGTTCAAATTGGGGAATCGGCCCAGCATCGGTAACTTTTGCGAGCCAAGTTGGGGACGCGGACGAAATTCGAAAGCGGGAAGCGGAACCGAAACCAGAATTCTTGACATCTGGAATTTCTCGGAACGGGGCTCAGGGGAAATCGAGATTTTCTCGGAATCGAGCGCGCGAGGAGGGCGTAGGGACAGCTTATGTTGTCTTTGAGAGGGGCGCGGTCGACTGTCGCGGTCTCTTGTGGAATCGGTCAAGACTGTCGGCCGGTTCTCGTGCCGCCCCTGGCGGCGCGGAGGCGGCTTTGACCAATTTCTGAATTTTTCAGGGCGGCGCCTGGGGGGTTTGGCGGGCTGTGGTGGCTGGCCCGCACGGTGGCTGCGGCCGCGTGCGGTCTCCAGAGTGAGGCGCGGGCGGCTACCGTGACTGGGCTCCTGGCTGGCTCCCGCGGCGCCCATGGCGGCGCGGTGGGATGGCAGCTGGCGGTTCGACCCTTTTGCGGAAGTTGTCAGGGCGGCGCAGGCGCTGGGTTCGGGTTGGTGGGTGGAGGAGGCCACCGCGCGAGGCTGCCTAGGACCACCCGGGGTCTTTGAGAAGGGCGCGGTCGACTGCCGCGTCGTCTCTTGCGTTCGGTCAAGGCGTCAAGGCTTTCGGCTGCTTCTCGCAGTCTTCGTGGCGGCGCGGCGGGTGGGCGGCGGGCGGCCGTGACCAATTCAATTTCGGAATTGGTCACCGCGGCGCCGGTGGGTGCTGGCGCCGCTCATTTGGGCGCGGCGGGCCTCTGTGTGGGAACGGCCCAGCCTGCGGGAATGCCTTCTCTTGTCCTCGCTGGGGTGTGGAAACACGGGTCAGATTCGGTCGTCTCGAGAAGTTCGACGCTGGCCTTGAGAGCTTCGGAAGGGGGCCGCGAGCCTCTCTTGAGTTTTTGTTGAGTTTGGCCGAAATCGAGGTCTCTTGTCGGTGAAGGGCCTGCGACAGAACGTTTGCCTTTGCACGCATCGCTTTCAGGAGGAGTGGGAGGAGGACGAGCAGGAGGAGGAGGAGGATGAGGAGGAAGAACAGCAGGAAAGAGAGGATGTTTTGTAACCGAAATAGCCCTGCAGCCCCAGAATGGGTTCTGAACTCGTGTGGCCAAAGTGGTGGGTGTCGCGTCCTAAGCGGATTACCTTGATCAGAGATGCGGAGCAGCATGTCGTGGAATGAGGGGTTTGGGAAGCGGTCGCATCTCAAGATGGGGAGTGTGCATGAGGAATCGGGGGAGGAGGAGGAGGCGCAGGGGGCAGAGGAGAGACAGGGAGGAATAGGTGGACGAGGCGAAGGAGTCGTCGTCGTCGTCATCGTCGTCGTTGTCGTCGTCGTCATCGTCGTCCGTGTCGTCGTCGTCGTCGTCGTCGTCTTCGTCGTCGTCGTCGTCGTCGTCTTCGTCCGTGGTGGAGCCATGTGCCGAGTAAAGTATTGCGTTCACTTCCGTGGCGTTGCCACGCCGATTGCAATTGTGTAATTATTGTTCGCCGAGTGGCTCCGCGCAAAGTTGCATTCAATGTTGTGTTCGCCGCCCCTGTCGTTGCTGGGTTGCGAGTGGAGTGGTTTAGTATGTGTTCCCGCCCCGCGGCGTTGCCGCGTGGCGGATGTAATGATCGATTTGCTTGATTCGCCCACCAGGCGTTGCCGCGTGGCCAGCTGAGTTAAATATCGTATTTTCGGGCCTGCGGCGTTGCCACGCGACGAGCAGAGTGGGGGTGATATGTTTTGTTGTTCGCCCGTGCCACGGGCGAGCTCCCGAGAGGAGCACGCACGACTCCGGCCTTCGCTTCGCTTCGCTCCGCCCACGTCGTTGCCACGCGGCGAGCGGCGTGGCCTTCTGTGGTTTTGCCCCTCAGGCCCTGCCACGTGACGAGCAAAGTGTTGCGCGTTGCCCTCCATGTGCTGCCATGTGGCTCGTGTGGTGGAATCGTTGTTTGATTTCCGCCCCCCACGAGCTTGCAACGTGGCGAGTATGGTGTAGCAGTAGTTGGGTTGCCCCCACGCCGCGAGTAGAGTGGAATAGTATGCAATCCTCTCCCGCGGGCGCTGCCACGTGGCGAGTAGAGTAGGGCAGTAAGTTCTTCGCCTCCCCAGGCGTTGCCACTGTAGTACTTCTCTTCCCCGCAGCCTTTGCCATGTGGCGAGTGGGGTGGGCTAGAATTCAGTTCGCTGCCACGTGTGGGGTGGAGTGGAGTGGTATTGTCGCTCGTCCCACCGGCGTTACCACGTGGCTAGTACAGGAGCAACGAGCTGGTCTTCTGTCTCCAGGCGTTGCCGCGCGGCGAGTATCGTAGAATAGTATGTTTTCTCGTCCCGCTGCGTTGTCACATGCCGGGTAACATGGAGTATTCCCCCCTCCTCGCATGCGTTGCCACGTGGCGTGTGGAGTGGAGGAGTAGTATTTGTTTCCCTCGCGAGCGTTGCCACGTGGGGAGTTGTCCCTTTTAGTATTTTTCCAAACCATCCTGTGGTGTTGGGTCCTCGCTTTAAAGAGACAGCGCCCCGCGTTCTTTCCTTCCTTCCTCTCCTCCTCCGCCTCCTCCAGCTCCTCCCTCCATCCTCGATCCCCATCCTCACCATCATCACCACCACCACCATCATCATCATCATCATCATCATCATCATCATCATCATCATCATCATCATCATCATCATCATCATCATCATCATCATAATCATAATCATAATCATCATCATCATCATCATCATCATCATCATCATCATGATCATCATCATCATCATCATCATCATCATCATCATCATCATCATCATCATCATCATCATCATCACAATCATCAGCATAACCGTCACCATCATCCCATGCATCCGTGCCATCCATTTCGGCACATCCCTCACGAGGTTCGTGGCTCCACAGGGAGCTCCACCGAAGGCCCCAGTGGCACCGTTTTACATGCGTCCCCGCCACCCATTTCGGCACACTTCTCATACGATTCGTGGCCTCATAGGGAGCTCCGCCGAAGGCCCCAGTGGCACAGCTTACATGCGCCCTCGCTAAGCATGTCAGCACACCCCTCACGCGGTTTCGACCCATTCCCCAGCGCAGTTTTGGGTGCGCCTGGCGCATGGCGGGATCACGAACGCCTGCTGCGCCCCGCCAATCATGCCACGCTCGGCGGGCCTGCGGGTCGCTTGGGCCGCGGGCGGGAATGTCGAGCCTGGGGGCCAGGAGCTTGGCGGGCCTGTAGTCGTTGAGTTGGGCGGTCGCGAATGACTTGCCGGGCCTTCCGTCCAGCTGCGCGCACGTCGAGGTTGCCCGCTGCAGGCAGTTCGAGACGCGCTTTCCCTTGTTTGTTGCGGCGATTGGCTGCAGCCGATATGCACGATGCTCCTGCCTTCATCTGTTATTTCGCCTCGCGTGTGTGTGGCCTGACGTTGCGCGTGAGGCGCAGAGGGACACGTGTGGGCTCGAAATACTATTGACCAGCTGTTCGGCCGTCATAGACGCAGCGGTTCACCATCACCATCATCACCATCACCATCATCACAATCACCATCATTATCACCATCACCTTCACCATTATCATCACCATCAGCAGCAGCAGCAACAGCATCAGCTTCAGCATCAGCATCTACATCATCGTTACCACCATCATCATCAGCAGCATCACCATCATCACAACTATCACCACCACCGCCACCACTATTATCACCATCACCAGCACCATCACCATCACCATCATCACCATCATCGTCGTCATCATCATCACTATATCGTTATCATTCTACATGGTCACCCCGACCTCTTCAGAATTTCCAGGGGAGTCCAGCCGTGGCGACGGGGGACCTCCTGGGAACCAGACATGGGCGAACAACGCCCAAGCCTCGATTCTCGAAACTCGATCCTCCTTGCTGGCTCTGCCGACGACGACGCCTACGCCGACGACCTGGACAACGATGGCAACGCCGACGACGCCGACGATCTTGACGGCACCGCCAACGACGCCGACGACGACGACGACGACGACGACGACATCGACATCGATCCTCGATCCTCGATCTCGACCTCGACGACGACGTGGTGCCGTCAACCTAGACGACGAACCCGACCCCCGATGCTGTGCCTGGACGGCGACCCGGCGCCGACGGCCTCGACGACGACGAAGACGACTACCCTGACCCTCGATCCCCGAACCGTCTCGCCCATATGGCGGTGCTGCCCGAAGGAGAGGGAGAAGGAAGAGCGCAGGCGGCAGGCGGCGGAGGAGGCCAACGCCGGCGCCAGCTGAGCGCCCGCCCGCTCGGGCTCGCCGCGGCGACCCCTCCCCCGTGTTTTTATTGCGGGTGCTGCTGGAGGTGGCCTTGGTTCCAGGGTGGCCCCAGCCTGTCCAGGCAGGCCCAGGTGGGCTGCAGAACACCCCTCGCAAGGCCTGCAGTGCCTCACAGGGGCTCAGCGTGGCGGGAACAGTTTGCTCGGGACAACTTGGGCCAGGGACGCCAGTGGCGACCCCCTTGTTTGTTATCCTCATTCCCAGCCTTCCAGTTTGTGGTGGTGCTGCAGGGACAGCAAATTCATCATCTCATCACTCCTCATCCTCCACTTCGGTCGGTCGGTCGGTCGTCAGGCAAGAGGGTCGATACCTGTACTCAGGATGGTGGCGCGAAGGAGCAGAGTGGAGACGGCGGCGACGAGGATCCCCCAGGTCCCCAAGGCCGACCGAGGGCGACGCAGGGGAGGAATAGAGAGAACGAGGGGGTTAGCTGGGGGCCGCACGGGGGCTGCAAGGCTAAGGGTCTCGCCATCCCTCCGCGAGGGCACAAACGGAAGGGACCACAGAACCAACGAGCGTCTCGAGCCGGGTCCCGCAACCGACTTGGACCTCTGGTCATTAATCTCCGCACATGCGAACGCCCATTCTGACATAGTGGCAGGGCCCATGATATTTGTACCAGCCCGACCTAACAATAAAATCACGGCGAAATCCAACACATGCGATCTTCCAGGCGCCAGGTACATGATAGCACGAGTCGAACCCAAGATCTTGGAGGCGAGAAACGAATTTGGCCAGCAGGAGTTGCAACACTTCGTTGAAGGGAATTGGCTCTACAGCGGAGTATCCCATCTCCAGGGTCGCTCTAGTCAATGATTCGATTGAGCCGTTGCCCCAGGACTATACGTAGTACGTTGACCCTACCAAGAACCGAATCGGTAACGCTGGAATGGCCTGGCAAAGTTGCTACTCGGCTTCTAGGGCGCAGTGCTGTTTGAACAAATCAATTGCCGAATCCACCCAATCTGTCCCGAACAGAACTGCGTTCGCACACCTGGGCAAGACAGCAGTACACATTCCAGAGCCTGCGACGTGGTCGGCTCCAGATGCTCCAGCACCAACTCCGGCATCGCCATCTCGAGTTTGAGGACGCGCGCCAGGCGTATGTCCAACACTCGTCGGGCCAGCATCCGCAGAAGACTCTCCTCGGACATCGAGCTTGCCGTGCAGGTGGACGAGCGGCAGGCTCCGAAGCCCACCACGAGGACGATCAGGAACCTGGCTTTGAGCAGGTGAGCCAAAGCTTGCGCGACGAGCAGCGTTCAAGGTCGTACCTAGGCGTCAGGGGCGGTACCCGCGGTGGTCGAAGGCCGCGAACGCCTTGACCAAATATGGGGTAGCCCGAGCCTCAGCGCCTGCGCTCGGCGCTCCGCCGCCGAGCGGCGTAGGCGGCTGGACCGGAACCTTTGGCTGCACCTCGTGCGAGGGAGGGATGAGAGGATGGTGGAAAGGCAGAGGCCGGCCCAGGCCTCCCGGCGCAGTCTCGCAAGGCCCAGGGGAGTGGGGCCCGCCAGAGCGCCTTCCTCCTCCTGCCCCTCCTCCTCCCTGTCCTTCTCTGTCTCAGCCATTATGCGCGCGAGCCGCCTTAATTTTCATGGGTCGCCCGAGCCTGACGGAGGCGAGCTGCGGGCGCTGAAGAGCGCCATCTTTACATTGGCGCGGCGCTTCCGAGCTCATACCCCCGAAGGTCAAGCCGCACCATGACCAGACGTAGAAGTGCAGGACGCGGCCTCCATTGGGAAGGATAGTAGAATCGTAGCTCTGCTCGAAGTGCTGGGAGTCCCGAGGCGATGTCAGCCTCACAGGCTCCTGCTGCAGAGTCTGCTGCCAACCGCACCCTCAAGGCTAAGCTTGCTGAGCTCAAGTGCATTTCCTAGGACCCAATCCTGTGCGAGCTGGTGGGAGGCAAGGGCTCCAGGAGCGGGTCGCCCAATTTCAGGAGACGATCGACAATGCAGGCTCCAGGCTTTTCCGAATGCAACATGGAGCGCGAGCGGATCGCACCGAAACGATCTTCGACAAGGCTTTTTCTGGAGCATGCCGCCAAGTGCTCAATCGAATCGCCATGTGTAGCAACCAGGTTGGAGGAGCCTCCGCGTTGCGGGAAGGGAAGCCCTCAACCACCACGCCGCCCTCGCGAAAAAGGATGAGAAGGACCTGCAGGCAGCGGCGGCAGCATCATCTGGGAAAGTGCAAAAGGGGGTTGAATTATTTCGTCCAAACAGTTATCACCATCAACATGCTACAGTGGACGACGAAAGGAACACGGGCAGCACTATACCTACACAGTGAGTGCGAATGCCCTCGGCGCTCCCGCCGTGCTTGTCAAGGAGCGGCAATCGAATACGGCGCACATCCGCAATATCACCCAGAGTTTGAACAGCAGGGCTCTCGAATCGACATTGTGCCCGACGTCGCGAAGTGGGAAGGCTGGAGTACAGGAGTGACAGTCGCCATGTTTAGGTCGAGATGAATGGATTTCCTGGGACCCGTTCACCTCATGCAAATGTCATGGAACAATATGTTTAGTTTCTCTTTCCCCTACCTCTTGATCATCGACTCGATCCTCCCCCCCAAAAGTCAACGCCCCAGAACCTCTCCAGGTGCGTTTCGACCAGGCTTCCGAGAGGACATCCAGCCGTGGCGACGACGAGGGTGCCGCCAGGACGCCCCCCGAGCTGTTTTGAAAACAGGCCCGGCACTTCCGGACCTCAGACCTCCCTGCTTCCCGCCCCCTCGCGGCCGCACCCTCCCCGCCCCCTTGCGGCCGCCCCCTCCCCGCCCCCTCCCCATCTGCGCGCGCCAGCCCGCGGGCTGCCGCATGCGGCCGCAGCCGCGCGCGTCGCGGCGCGGGGAGCGGCCGCTCGATCAAGCCTTCGCGCCCGAAAAGAGCGGGACGCCGACGGCGGCGGCCCTCAGCGGCCCTCGACGCCCCTCCGCGTCGCCGCGGCTGGATTATCTTCGAAGCCCTGGTCAAGGCGCACCCCGTGAGAGGCCGATGGGGTTGAGTTTCGTTGAGGGTGGTCGTTGTCGCCGCCGCCGCCGCCGCCGTAGCCGCCACCGTCGCCTCCGCCGCCGCCACCGCCGCCGCCGCCGCCGTCGTCGCCTGGGTCCGCCTGGGAGCCCTTCGTGGCCTCGGCGGGATTCCCTCCAGAATCCTGGTCGGGAAACGAACGGGGAGAAGTCCGGGGGCCGATTTGAAGGATCGTCGTCGCCGTTGCTGTCGTCGTCGTCGTCCTCGTCCTCGTCCTTGTTGTCGGCGTCTCTGCTGGCGCTTTCTTGCTGTTTCGTTTGGGATCCCATGGCAATCGAACGGCGGTCCGTAACGAAGAATACAAGCCTGGTGCAAAGGGTCGTGAAGAAGTCAAGGTGTCTGAGGTCAAGGTCGGCTGTTCTTGCTGTTTCGGCCTCAGGGCGCCGTTTTTCATACCTCTGTTTCGAGTCTCCGTCCCCTAGAGCCTGGCCCCTTCACCGGTGCCATCCTGAGTCGGCTTGCAACGGTTCCGACATAGGCCGAAGCCTGCGAAAAGCCTCTGACATGTTTTTTGTCCAAGTCGCCAAGGGGTGGGTTCTGGGCGAGAATATCCACGACGACAGACCTAGTACTGGGAATGGGGTGAGAGCTCTCCGCAGAAGGATCTGGAACATCCCAGCGCCTAGAGCGATGATCGGCGACGGCCGTCGGAGTAGGCGAGCATTACGATCAAGCATGGCTCCTTGGCGGCGCTTCGCCAACAAAGTGGACGGTGAGGAGGAGTGACCTGCCATCGAACACAACGAAGGGTGGTTTGTCATATCACCCATGTTGGAGCGATCTCAGGCTGGGGCTCATAGCCAACTTCATAGGAGCCGTACGCTGTCCCTATCTGGGCGTAAGCGTACGAGCGCGCTGGCAAATTTGTTGGCGGCCTTGCACTTCAGTCGCGCAAGAAGCCAGCCAGGGCGAGCTGGTGCGACAGCGTCGCTGCCTCCGCCATTCACCTTTAAACGCACGAGCGCTGGATCACGAGAAAGTTGTCCGATGGCGTCGCCCTCGGCTAATGACGCACAGGTGCAGCAAGAACCCTTCCCTCTCGTCGGCCTCCCACCTGGGGAGCCGATGTCTGATTGGGATGTGCGTGGCACCGCACCCCGCTGGACCTCCCAGGAGCTCTCGGAAATGGCGACTGATTCGCAGCTGGCAGTTCGCAGGGAGGTGAGGTCTTGACTTCGATCTGCGTATCACCATTCTCCACCAGATCTCACGAAAGCTGTGGCAGTTGCGCAGCTCGCAGAACCCAGGAGGCCGAGGTCCACTTTGCATCTGCGTATCACCACACAACGAGGGATTCTCCATGATCTCACGAGACCTGCATTCATTCCGCGTTGGCAGCACCCAGGAAGCAGAGGTCTAATTTGGAGTTGGCAGCACCCAGGAAGCTGAGTTCTAAGTTGGATCTGCGTATCACTGCATTCCGCTGCACCTTCCTGGAGCTCGCGACAGTGGCGACAGTTGAGCAGTTGACAGCGCCCAGGGAGTCGAGGTCTCCTTTGGATCTGGGTAGCACCGCACTCAGCAGGACCTCCCTGGAACCCACGAAAGTGCGGACACATGCGCAGTTTGCAGCATCCAGGAAGACGAGGCCCATCAAAGTAATTAGCATCGCATCCCGCTTGACCTGCGGGGACCTTGCGCCCGGCAGCACGCAGGGCACCAAGGTCAGAGTTATGGGTCCCGAGCGGTCATTCATTTTCCCTTGGTGCGTAGCTGAAGTGGGGTTCCGCAGTGCGGATGGATTATTGCTGCGCTGTTGAATCTTCGTTACTAAACAGTCATTACACCCTACATCAGCCCTGGTGCTCTCACCTCGGCGCCGGCTTCATCTTCTTTGGAGTTGATTCTCACGCTCAGGCTTTTCGGGGGGCCGTGGAAGCACCCTTCCCAACAAAAACAATATCAACAGCCACACAAACAACAACAACACCACCAACAGCAACAGCAACTACAACAATAACAACTACATCAACAAAAAACAACGCTACCCACAGCAATAACGACAGCAGCAGCAACAACGACTATCATTTCAAGACTGGTCGCTCATATCTGCTCACGTTCCAATCCATACGTATATCCCAAACCCTCGGTACCCGCCCTCGTCGTCTTCGATCGTACCCCGTTTGGGGAATATCTTCCTTACCTGCCACGTGCTTTTAATACATCCCTGTAATCAAGGGAAGAGAGGACGGGTGGAAGG